GACATGTCTGGCTTAGATCAATAATTCCTACATAAAATACAAAGTATTGGTAGAGTTGTCTTTTTGATGTTGCATAATTTGACTCTATAATGGTCTATAATGTCATAATTTGACACAATCCTCACATTTTATACGTGTTTGAAATATCATAGTCAGTGTATTGAATATTCTTGTAGTTGTTCTATTTAGGCTGCAAGCCAGTAGATGATGATGACGACGACGACGATGATGATGATGATAAAGATAATAATAATGATGACGATAATAATAATGATGATGATAATGATAAGAGTTGGAAGGGACCTTGGAAGTCTTCTAGTCCAACCCCCTGTGCAGGCAGGAAACCCTATACCATTTCAGACAAATGGTTGTCCAATCTCTTCTTAAAAACTTCCAGTGTTGGAGCATTCACAGCTTCTGGAGGCAGGTTGTTCCATTGGTTAATTGTTCTAACTGTCAGAAATTTTCTCCTTAATTCCAGGTTGGTTCTTTCCTTGGTTAGTTTCCATCCATTGCTTCTTGTCCTGCCTTCAGATGCTTTGGAGAATAGGTCTACTCCCCCTTCTTTGTGGCAACCCCTGAGATATTGGAACACTGCTATCATGTCACCCCTAGTTCTTCTCTTCATTAAAGGTGATTCTGTAGGAGTGGTAGGCTCTCATGAACTCAATAAGCAAAAAAAATTCTGCAGAATTCCATTACTACTTTGTCTTTTCCCCTCTTGTATAATTGTACAGAAGTCCATTGCTTTTTAAAAATTCTTTAAATGTTCTCTTCAACTAATTTAGCAGATCAAAGAAAGTGTATCACTGGAAATACAAATTGACAGCTTTGTCAACTCTGCCAATTAAGCTAAGCAATTAATCACATGAAATGTCAGTTTTCAATCAGAAGTTAAAGCAGGAAGAACTAATTTTTTCTGTTACATCTTTTTGACAAGACTTCTTTCTCTTCAAAAAATATATCATTATAAAGGTTATTTAAAGTAATTGGAACATTCAGTTTCTAAACACTTATAATTAGAAAAAAGTTTTAATTGACTCAATTTGTTTCAATAATAACCAAAAGTATATGCAACTACTCCTGGGAAAAATTATCTACTGTATATGTGGTCACTCAGAGTGAACATCAACTTCATGACATCTAGCTAATCAAAATTTTCAATTAAGCAGATAATCTAGGATAACACTAAGTTTTTCTTCTTCTGAACTATACTCCATCTTCATTTCTTTGCTTTTTCTCCTTTTTCTAATACATCTGTTTTATAATGGCTGGTTTTATAAGCCACTCTGAGACACACCAAGGCCAATCCATTTTAGCCTGCTCTATTGTGGGAACATATTTAATTTATATTCAGTGTATCATGCAATCTCAGATAATTGGACTGAATAAATCATAGTTAATTTTGCCACAGATTAATATTTCACACAAACATACATGTTATCATAATTGTTTCCATTGTTCATCTTTTTATACTCTTGCCAATTTAATTTTAGACAATTATGGTTCCTTTAGATAGATTTTAGATAATTTTAAATCAGGGACCTCCAAACCTAGCAACTTGAAGACTTGTGGATTTCAACTCCCAGAATTCCTCAGCTGGGAGTTGAAGTCCACAAGCCTTAAAGTTGCCAAGTTTGGAGACCTCTAATTTAGACAATTAGGAATTTTAGTACAGAGAAAATGTTGAACACGGAAGTATTCATAAGTGGGTCAATCACCTCAAAATGTGCTCCTGACAATCTAAAATCTGGTCCTTTTTAAACATATATCATGTGCATTGCACATACATGAAAGGAGTGGCTTTTGATTATCTGGACACATCTGCCTTTTTGAGATTGCTGACCCCCATCATGCACATACCTGCTTGGGAACTGGGTAGAATCAAACCAAATCACAGCATGGTTACAAGTATAAGAATTATTTCCTTTGTTATAATTTAGCATAGTTCAAAGCCTGCAATTATGGTTTGTAAACAATGATTAATGGCAGCAATCTTCTATTTATTTGCTTTTTAAATATTCTAATTTTTTTCCCCTAAGAAAAACAAAGAAGAATTACTGTGAGATTGCATTTCTAATACAGTGGTCACTTGGGGAGAGCTAGTGTAATTTCTATACTATAACACTTTCTGACACTGATAATGTATATTAAACTATTTGTCAGTGATCAGCCATTAACATCCCTTCACACAACTATTCAAAGTATTTTATGGTTATGTCAACTTGAAAAACTAGTCCACTATTTCTGTGGAAAAGGGTATTGAATTAAAGGCTCTGATCCCTTTAATTTGATGGGTGATATTATCAAAGTTACTGTCATAACCACCTGGCCATCACAGGTTTTATGAATTTATATTATTTGAGAATTACAAAATAGCCTATGTTGAACATAAAAAAATCAGCTATAAGGACCTATGGACCAAAATATCTTGTTTGTCTTTGAGTCTTTTTTTTTTTTTTTTTACTTCTGGCAGCTGTGTGAACTAGACCCTGTAGTTTTCTTGACAACATTTCAAAAGTGGTTTGCCACTGCCTTCTTCCTAAAGCTGAGTGAAAATGACTGTTATCAACTCTTCATCTACCAGTTTCTACTAAACAGGCTTTTGAAAAAGAAATCTTAATAAAGTATTGTTTATCTTCTCAGTATGATAAGTTCTGGAAATTATTTTCTATGAGTGGTGAAAGGAATCAAATAACATAAGCTTCTAGAAAAGGAGAATTACAGTGGTGGTCTACAAATATCTAAAAAGCTGTTCTGTTCCCTTTAGAAAGCAAGGCAAGTCATGGACTGATAAATTGTCTCATAAACAAAGGAGAATCAGGTTGAAAATGAGCAGGAATTTCTTGATGGCAAGAGCCGATATATGGAAGATGACTAGATTCTCTAAAAGGTCCCTTCCAATTAATGCATTCTATGATTCTACAAGTATCTTGGAATAATTAAACAAAATCACTAGTAATAACCCAAAACATAATACTCTTTTAGGACATTTGTAGAAATTGTTTGGAACCTGCAAGCTCCACCCACTATTCATAAACTATAATCCTTTTTAAAAAGTTTCACCTGCACACCTATTTATACAAAACTAAAAGACTTGCCAACCAAAATAAATGCCAGCTGCATAGTAGTTTCTCTTTCAGTGAATGCAGCAAATTTATTCCTTTTCACAGTAATAGAGCAAACTCTGAAGCTGATAGATATTTCACACTCCTCATGTTAGTGAGAACCATAGATATTTCGATTTCCCAGAATTTCAGTCAGATTTCTTTTGCTTGATGCCCTCCAAGATGTGTTATCCCTAACAACAGTCATCCAGAAGAGAAGAGTGAGAACAACTCTTGCTGTTGACTCCAGATTCAAATAGAGCAGATGCAAGGTTTTCATGGATGAAACTAAAATGTGCCTGCTAATACCAGCAGATTAAATCATTAAATTATATGTAATTGGTCCTTTCCCATCCTGACAGCTGTGTGGCTGTTAAGTACATTCCAGGCAGTAAGCTGCTGAAGGCTGATCTTATTGAATTACTGTCCACCTTCCTTTACATAAGAAGACATTATGTCACACATTTATTTTACAAAGTTTCACATGACTTCCACTTCCCCTCCGTCTTGAGTGGGGGTGAGGAAATTTCTCTATTTTTATGCAGTGGATATCCTGCATGCTGTTTTTACCTTTAATTGACCTCCAGGAGGCAGTAAGAAATTAAAATTTGAATTACCTATTTTGGGAAGGTGCCAGTCCTTTTAAAATATCCATTTTTAACTTATCCACTCTTGGTGATTGTATGTGAGTGCTAACAATGTATTTTCATATGTTTAAAAGGATGTCCACAACTTGATTTTGTTATAAAATACAAAACAAAGAGTATGGTGCATTTTGCACCTTAAGGAAAGTTTTTAATTAAGGAAATTATTTAATGTCTGGACAATATATGTCTTCAGTGGATATGTATGTTTGAGTAAATGGTAATGTAAGACTTCAGAATATTTAACATATCAATTAAAATAGTTATTGCTTACAGATGTAAAACAGTCTTTTATATACACTTGTAAATTAGAATTTATCCTATAGGCCAGAAGACAGAATATAGAGGAGGAGGACGAGGAGGAGGAGGACAACTAAGACATTGTCCTACTAGTCTTTGACTTATGACCATAAGCATAGCAATTACAGTTGTAAGTCATGATGTTCGTAAAGTGGGTCACAAAGTGGGTCATGTGACTAAACCTGATTTTATTATCTTTTTGTGGTGGTCATTAATTACATGCCGTAGTTGTGAAGCAAATTCATTGTTCGCTATAGGTCAGTTTTTTGCTGGAAACTGGAAGTAAACACTGGTCTCTGGCAAAACTGGCATAAATCACAATCACACGACAGCAGGGTGCTGCAAATAGTCATGAATGTAGCCTTGTTGTTGAGGGCCCAAAATGTACTCATGTCACATGGGGAGGAGGGGAATGATACCAGAACTTCAGAACTTGGTCATAAGTACCTTTTCTGTGGGTCCATCATGACTTTGAACAATCACTAAGCAACCAATCATAAGTTGAGGACTATCTGTATAATACATCATGAGAATGATAATAATGTACTTGTATAATTGTACATTCACTTTCTAGGAAATTCCTCAATATGTGAACTGAATCTTCTGTCCAGTGACAGATTTTGTACCATGCTATAGCACGTTTCATGACACTGAGTTACTGACATTTCCCAGTAAATAGATTCACTGGAAAGATAAGTACTTTGATACTTATGGAAATACAATGGCAAATGTTAATATTTTAGTTGTTGATGATGTTGGGTGTGAAAAGATAAAGATGTCAGTAGTCATGCTTAACTTCTTGTGACTTCAATGGACAGATTTATGGCATTTCTTGGTAACAATGTGAAAATGGTTGACCATTGCTGTATTTCAGCATGTTGCAGTATGTATTGCAATCTAATTAATGGTGCAATCTGATAGTAATTCTTACCATTTTTTTTTCATACAGACAACTTCAAAAAATAGTGCATGATATCAAGAAAAATGATAGTGGAATAATGAGCAAGTTCAAAAAGTAAGTTATGCACGTACGCAATCCACACAATGGAATTATTGTTTTCTTTTATTTTGATGCTTATTTTCTGTAATTATATCAACTATGTATGTGGTTATTTTTTCTATGTTCAATTGGGCTTATCTCCAGAACATTTTTGAATATTGTAATATGTACATCAAATGCAAAAGATTTTTCTTGATGCTCTTGTCTTATCCAATGAACTATTTAGAATCTGTTATGGTAATATGTATATAAACTATGTTCCAACATCTTAACAGCTGTATTGTCACCAAGAGTTAGGAAGCCATCCATTTATATAGAAAAAGGTAAGCATATATAAGGACATCATCCTTGTTAGAAAAATCTCAGCAAATACTGAAGTGGTGGAACCTTCACACATTGTTAACATCCCTTATGGTGGATGAAACTGCTGGCAATTGTAGTTAAGTAACATCTGGAGGACTGCATATCATGAATCTACACCGTAAGTTCAATACATAGCCTCCATGGGAATGACAGAGAAGGAGGGTGAGGCAAATGTTCTCTCATCTCTAGCTGAAAAACGGAAACCTAAAAAGTTTTAACCAGTTAATATCTGTGACTATTCCTTTCTGATCTTGTCATATTCAGAATTCAAATCCCTGGTAAGAAACTGCTGCCATACTAGTAAGTATGATTCAAGGACATCATGAGGATTATAAGCGGATGTATTAAAATTACTCCAACTTGCTGGCTTTCTGTTCTTAGCCATATAGCAGTGCCAGCTTTACGAAGGCAAGACGCATTAGTGAGAGAATGCAGAAAAATTATAAGTAACTCATTTCTACCGGTGCATGCCGACCTTTCTCATTTATCAGCAGGAAGACTCAAATCCAGGAAGCCCCTACTGACACTTGCACAATATCTGCCCAACAACTTTAATTTCAATTCTCAATGGAAAGCCAAATGGGTCGCTGAATGCCCAGACATAAGAAGACATATAAATGGCCTCACTAAAAAGGTGGCATGCCTTTTTTTGTGGGATCAAAACACCACATCAGCAATGGACAATACTGAATAGGATTCATACCTCAACAGCATCTGCTAAGACTCTCTGTATAAATGGGGCATAGTATCTTCCTCCTCAGTGTGACTGTGGGGTCCCATGTCAAACTGTAGATCACATCATGATCGGCTGTAAGCTGAGGGGATATACCAGTCCAGTATCTTATTTTTTTAGTACAAACGATGTTGTGCTTCAATGGTTAGATAGCCTAGACTAGGGGTAGGCAACCTTGGCTCTTTTATGACTCATGGACTTCAACTCCCAGAATTCCTGAGCCAGCCATGCTGGCTCAGGAATTCTGGGAGTTGAAGTCCAGGAGTCATAAAAGAGCCAAGGTTGCCTACCCCCGGCACTAGACACTTAATATTTGAACATAGATTTTTTTTAACTTTTATATTTTACCGGGTGTTCTACTAATCTAGATGAAATGTTAATATATATTGCTAGTCCACGGGCTAAATAAATAAATAAATTCATACCCTCTAGTTCAGCTGGATGAAAAAGGTGTGTTATAGCTTCTATCTTCAGTGGCTTCCAATGTGAACAGTGGGACAATGATAAAATCAGTAGTCAAGTCAGAGTCACGAGGGACTGCAGCTACTTATAATGTGGCGAAAATGATGAAACAGGCATCAGAGTGTCTCAATAGAGCTCCTACCCTTTTGTGTGTGTGTCATGACATTGCTGAAAAAGTGTATCACTGTGTATGTTTCATCACCTCCCCATAGGTGTTCACATTCTGAGTGATGAGAAAGAACAGGCAAAACCTGACCATCTTTTCAGATGATCTCTCTGAACACATTCCTCTCTTTTTCCCTAAATAAGAATGGCTGGTATTCATAGCAAATCTTACTCCCCTCCTTTAAGGGGCAATGTGGAGAACCTGACCTGTGCAGACCAGGAAATCACCAGGGACACAAGCTGCAACTTTCAGGGAGTTTTATTCACCTGCTAAGCCATAAAGCAGTCTGTTTATTTGGAATTGGCAAATTGTTTGAACCAATTTAGTTCTGTCTTATTAAGTCCTTCATGGTTAAACAAACTAGAATTTAACATGAATCCAGCCTGTCTCTACAATGCAATCTACATCAAGGCGAGCATTTCAGACCAGTGATCATTCCATTTTATAATATTAAGATATCCAGTTTCTGAAGATCTGCATTTCTGTCTCAATTACTGCACAATGTTCTCTTAATGGATAAAGTTTCAACATCTGCATTAAAACTGCTGCCTATCTCGTCTGGGAGCATAATATCAACTTGTCCACTTCTGTTGCAATCCGCATGATAAAACAAAACAAACACAATTGCTTTCCCTCCTTCAGAGATCTTACAGCAATTTTTCTAACAGCCATTTTCCACACCCACATCTGTTGTGTATACTTTTAAGTCTATATTTATCCCTGAAACAGTTGCCTAAATATAAATTATCCACAGAAGAGTATTCCAGAACAAGAATCCTTCCTGATTAATTTGTATTTTCCTGCAAAAAGTATTACTTTCCTTTGCAAATCCAAACCTGCCTCCCTCACCTTTGGAGGCCTCTGTTTCTCCTAGGCTCTCATTGGGGGACAAGAGGGGGTCATATGGTAATCTCTCTGCAGACCCTCCTCTTCAATCTGTGGGATCCTAAAAACTCCCCTGCCTTCTGCAGCAATTGGACTTTTAAGAAATGCTACTTAGGATTCTGTGGCACTTGAAATTGGACCAAAATAGCTGCTTTAGAGTACATTCCTGGGGGAAAGGCCTGCAGTGCTGTATTTTGCACACTCTAAAGAACCTTTGGGAAATGATACGCTGCACAAGCTTATTGTGTCTCTTGTAATTCAGGTGAAGTTTTTTCCAAGTCCAGTTGACAAGCAGGATGTTTTTTCTCCCTAGGGTTTTAATGAGGAAAGGAATGCTTCTATCTGTCTGAAGACAGCATTACTCAGCCCCAAAATGGTTTTTCCTGGCAATTGATTAGGGCTTGTTGTGAAATGTTTGCGTGTGAGCGATGTGCTATCTCTCTTGCCTATCTGTAACATAGCTGTTGGAGAGAAAAGGCACACAATTGCAGGAAAATCTGCAACTCTCAACCTAACCTCCAATTATCAAAGAAATCAGTTCAGCCTTTTGATAAAGTTCCCCTACTCCTCAGAGGAAGCAAACAAAGAGCATTAAAGAGGTCTCAGAGATAGGGAAGATATCCTTACATTTGGCTAGACTTATCATGTGAGACTCAGTGGGATTATCTCTGAGAAAAGGTTCTGCTTGACAGAAAAAAGATTCACCACCTCACATATGATAACCTTGATCAACAGATATAAACCATAACTACCCCAATAAGGTTGGGCATTCAAAGTATCATTGCCCTGTGGGAAGATGTCAAAGGTCCCATCGTGCTCACAGTCTGACCAAAACAGTTGTCAAAATTGTCCCCTATTTTTTGTTTCAACAGCTGACATGCAACAGCATATTAACTTTTCGTGGGAGGCTCCATTTAAGTTTTGCTGAAGTTCTCCAATTCTCTGTTTTGTTGTGGCTTTGAGGCAGAAGGTATTCTCAGGTTACTAGTTCAGGTGGTGACTAAGCAGGTGCCTGTCATTTAGTAAACAGCAAAAGAGAGTCTATATTGACTCAAAACAAAGAAACAATGCCTGATTTAATATCAGAAACAGGAAGGCACAGTCATATCAGGATAGGTCTTTGGCTAATGGGGTTGTCCTAGGAGAAAAGGGTGGGCTGGGGAGGGGATGACAAGTTTAGACCAGTATATTTGTTTTCTGCAGCCAAGAACAAGATGTAGTAGCTTTCCTACTAAATGAAGCTGTACTTGATGTGTTTTTTTCCCTCTAAGCAAAATGTAAAGGACATCAAAGTCCTATTGATAATATGACAATATTCTCAGAGTTCAGAAGTTTGGGTGGTTAATGAATACTTTATTATCCTGCACTTCCCAGAGTCACCTTTGGTGAGATGGGCAGCTATATTTGATTAATAAATAAATATAAAAAGCTGTATGACCAGCCTTCTCTCAACAGAATAACATGTCAAAGAACAGCAATTGGTAGAGATATCAAGCCTGTAAGCAATGTATCAAAGTGAACTATAATTCAGTGGCCAACGTAAAGATTTTGACTTTTAAAGAAAAGGGAGAAGAAGACAGATAAACTTTTGCTGTGACAATCAAGTGCCCCTTAAATCATAAAAATGAATCTCTATGGAGATTCTCAGTTATCCAGGTCATGGTTATCCAGCTCAACCAAGAAGCTTCTTCAACTCAACCAAGAAGCTTTTTCAGCTGAAGAAGAGCTGAAGAAGCTTCTTAGATAAGAAGCGAAACGTCTTCAAAGAGAAAAAAGAAAGTCCAGTTGTCTTGCGAAAAATCTCCTTTGGGACTAAGAATGAATCGCAATTTCTTGACCATTCCATTTTGTTACCCCAGTAGCCCATCACGCCTTGAGATGGCCCAGATAGTTTTCTTTGCTGAACTAAGACAGAGAAGTGAGGTGAAGCATATAAAGAGAGAGGGAGCAGTATCAAAAGGAAGGCAATAAATTGTAACAAGAGTTGAACACAAAAGGGGAACTGGTGACATAATATGAAATATCTCTGTCTAGAGAGCTCCTGACAATATTGAAACTCTAATTCAGGGGTGTCCAAATTTTAAGACTTAGGGATTTCAAGTCCCAGAATTCACAATCCACAAGTCTTAAAGTCACCAAGGTTAGATACCCCTGCTCTAACTGAAGGCTAAGAGTTTCTCTCAGGGAGCTGGAAACATCATCCAGCGTAGAATGAAGTTTTTATAATAAGGGTTAGCCAGATGGGTAATTTTGTATATAATCTGTTCCTGCTGCTTTATCCATTTGCATTGATAGCAATGAGCTTTTTACTTATCTGTTGATTTCTTAAGAGCAAGCAACTGTCAAAGACCAAATCAAAACCAAGTTTATTTTTCCTAATCAGCTAGCAATGCTGTTCTTTATGGCAAAGGCTGTGAAAGTCCAGGTAGTCCTTAAGTTACAACTATCCATTTAGTGGCACTGAAAAAAAATGACCTACCACCAGATTTTACGATTGTCACATTGTCCCTGCAGTCACGTGACCAAAATTCAATCCCTTGGTAACTGGCATGGATTTATAATGGTTGCAGGATCCTGGGATCATAGGATCACCATTTCTGACCTTCCAATAAGCAAAGTCAATGGGGGAAGCTGGATTCTCTTAAAGATTGGATGTGATTCACTTAACAGCCATGACAGAAAGGTCATAAAATTTGGCATGACTCACTTAAAAAGCGCCTTGCTTAGCAATAGGAGCTCTAGTCCCAATTGTGGTTGTAGTCACAGACTACTTGACAATGCTTGTCACACAAGTACATCACTAATCACTTGTGGGCTGAAATCTTGAAGTTCATATATATGAGGGCAGCACTCAAAGGAGTTTGTTCCTTATTTCATTCAATTGTCAAACTTCACTTGAGTTTTTAAAATGGTGTTTGAAGGAGTCCTTTTGCAGTTCCCACCTAGAGCAACAAAAACTTCCTGCAAGTGAATGTGGCTGCCTTAGCTCAACATTAAACTATTGTTTGTTTTGAGATAATATTGGTGGTGTGCGTGTCTTAGGCAATTCCATTTATTAAAACAATAGAATTATTGCTAAAAACCTTCATAAGCAAACAAAATTAACCTACCTGAGAATCACTGTTTTGCTTATTCCTTTTTTCCTGCCGATGTATAGGTTCCAAAATGAACAAGTGGCCTTAATATGCAAAACTGGAAAAAATACATGGGATCGGTATGACAATTTAGCATTGTACAAGCGCTGATTGTGTAGCATGATTTCCTGTTGCCTGCTTTCAGTGTGATGTTGTTTGCATTTGCTAACATGGGCTTCAACCCACCCTTAATATAGCAAGGATTAGAAGCATGACTTTCTCTCTTCTTTGCCTTTCTTCAGATCCATCCAGAGGCTGTTGCCCTAGCTTTCCAGGTCCTTTCCTTTCGAGTGCAGAAACAGGGTCTAGAACTCTAGAACATGGGGGGGTCCAACATTTTTGACTTGCCTGGACTGCATTGAGTGAAGAGGAATTGTCTTGGGCTACATATAAAATATATAATATAGTTAATGTATATAAATCACATAATAATGTTAAAAGTTTATGATCTTGTGGGGCTGCATTACTAGCTGTCAAGAGCCTCGTTTGGCCCATGGGCCTCTGGTTGGACATGTCTATCTAGAATATTAAAGGACCATGACATGTTGCCTTTATTCTATGATATATGCCTGGAACATAAACATAAGCAGATCTGATTTACCACATGGTGCAAAAGAAAAACTCCAGTTAGGCATATTTCCCCCCCCCCCCCCGGCATGTGGGGGGATGTGGGAACCTGAAAATATTTTCTAAAAGCAGCAAATAGCTCAAAATGTATTAAATGCTTTGTAAAAGCCAACCCCATCTCTGGAAGTAATTGACCAGCCTCAAATTAATGTAGAAATCCAATATGGTGATCACGGAATTCTTCCACTATATGCTAAATTGCATAAGTAAAATATTAGGTCTCTCAAGGTGTAAATGAAGATGTACAAAATCTAACCAATGATATATTCCAGATTGTCAAAGACTCCCTTGGGTAGTTGGGTAGAGCAAGAATTGACTGAACTTCCATCAAGTTTCTCACTGTAATTTGCACACAATAGTCAACCCTAACTTTCAAATCTACAGGAACCTTTCAGAGGGAGAGAGGACTTCAGAGGGGAAGAATTGGGAAATTTGTCTTCCCTGAACATGGTTAATATGTTTTTGTCTACACAGAAGTAAATCTCATGGAATTTGATAAGGTTTCTTCCCAGATAAGAGATGCTGAGTATTGCCAAGTAGCTTAACATAGTGTAGGAAAGAGGCAAGCAGTGCACAGGATGTTTCTCCCAATCAGATTTTTGCTGCCTCCAAAGAACTCACAGATTTCATGCTGAAATACTACAGCAAAAATGCTGGGTTTTGATGGCCCTGTTTTTCCCACTGGGCCACCAGCCACAATCTTTGTAGTTGTTGGAGGCTAAAAAGAAAAAGTCAGAAAGATCAGTCCTCCCCAGTTGCAAATCATAATAATAACAGTAATAATAATAATAATAATAATAATAATAATAACAACAACAACAACAACAACAATAATAATAATAATAATAATAATAATAATAATAATATAAAAAACTGATCTCCTTTACTCCACCTCAATCTTAGAAGTGCTTTCCAGCTGAGACTCCTATTTAAAAAAAGAGTTTTGGGGTTTTTTTTAATGTCGTAGTTTGGCTTCCAATTCTTACAGTTTTAGTACTCTAAATTAATTAACTAATTTAACTAATACTTTTCTCATCTTGGCTTTGACTTTAGATGCTATTTTTGAAAAGGTTTCTTGAGTCTGGAAGATGTGGACAATGTCAAAAACACTTTGCTGCCCCAATAATCATCTTTCTTGTGTTCTTCACAATAAGCTTCTGGGTGAATAAAACTCACAAGCTGGAGGGCAAAATGAGATGGGGTTTTTTTTTGTTTTTGTTTCCTGGTGCCTTAGGCTCTTGGCATCATTCTCATTTGTTCTTGCTGAGGAGACCTTGAAAAATGCTTTGTAAATCTTATTTCAAAAACATTTCCCTTTCTTTCCATCTGACGTCCTCAAGTTAGTGAACAACGTCAGTGGAAAACAAGACGCTTACATGAAATGCAAGGTAAAAGCTTCCCTGAGGGAAGATCAAATTTTGGTGACCCCATGGATACATTCTTTCTTTGTTTGGGTTTGGGGTTTTTTTTCTTGGCAACAATAAGAAAACAGTGGCCATTGTTTCCTTTGGGAATGATTTTCTTCAGTTTCCCAACCAGCTGGTCTTGAAAAGGCTAAATAGGTTATATAGGAGCTTGGGAGACCATGAGGGACATCCAAAGTAGGTGATACTGAGCAATTATTTCAAATGCTAAAAATAATAATAGAATTTAATGCTTGTATATTATTTTTTAAGAACAATTGTCTTGATCTTCTGTGGGACTTCTTAGTGGAAGTATCCTACTTCTCCCATATTGACTAGGTCTGACTCTGTTTAGTTTTCTTTAAAGTCAGCTAAGTACTACCACCTGCTCTGACAATTGTTCTTAAAAATTAATATACAAACATTAAATTCTAATTATTATTTTTAGCATTTGAAATAATTGCTCAGTATCACCTACCTTGGATGTCCCTTGTGATCTCCTATGCTCCTATACAGCCTAGTTAGCCTTTTCAAGACTAGCCAAGTTAAATGGTAACTGTTGAAAATGGAATTTAAGAGTCATGAATGAGATTTTTGGGAAGAGATGGAGCAATCTTAGCTAGGAAGCCATGATCTCACAAGACATTTGACTCTTCACCCAAAGACAATACCAAATTTCCAAATTTTGAATGCTGCGTATCTACATTGTGGGCTCCAGTATTCTCAATTATTTATTCAGTACTTGTCTTAAAGGAATTGCATTCATTTAAGCAGGTTATTTCAGTTAAAATAACTTATGGCCTAAGTCCTACTCTGATCAGATTTGCATAAATCAATAGCGTTTTTTGTGATGGAAGAAACCAAAATTAGTCTCAAGTCTTTGTAAAGCTGAATAGAATTAGAAAACAAAGCCATGAGTCTTTTTAACTGCAAAATACTGGTTGAAATGAAGGATCCATTCTTGTTTTAAAATACCAAGAAATTTTGAAGCCAATCGCATCACATCCTGTTAAAAATACAAATGTCCATGTTCTATTTTGCATTGCATAGACTACATTCTATACCTTTGTGACTAACCAGCAACCTGCATATCTTTTATATCTGCAACTATCGTGTTAATTGTCTTTTCTATAGAAGTAGCCATGTTTGAATACACACACACATACATACACACACACACACACACACAGTATATAGAGATTCTTTTGCATTATTATGTTTGTTTTGCTTAGTCTCTTTGGAATTCTGCATATGTCTTTTGTTACTAGATTTCTGTAGTTGCTGTAGTCCCTGGTCTAGTGCCAACTGTTGCCATCCCACAATTATATAGAAAATGAAAAATGACACTTTTTTTCCCCACAGGTTAACAAGTAAACCACCACCAAGCATACCACCAGTTGATTATGTTCCAGGTATGGAATTAACACCATTATTAGGTTTTAGGATTGATGCAGACATGTAAATCAGAGGCGTAGGATTCAAGATGGCGGTATGTGTACATGCAAGCATCACATCAATTAGGGTGGAAGACAGTCCCTAGTTATTCCTCAGTTGTGCCTGTCAGGTAATTTATATGACTGAAATGTATGCTGATAGTTCTCAGCTTACGACTGGCCCATTACAAGCCATTGGTTTGCTTAACAATTGCAGTGTTAACTTAATGACCACTGTCAAAACAATTATAAAATCGGGTTGGTCATTATGACTGTTATGACTTACAACCATGATGGGCAGGCTCCATTATGGCCATAAGTCGAGGACTACTTGTAAATGTTTTCTCAGTGATATGGGAATTACACAAAACAAATCTTTCCCACTTGCTAAAATACTGTCTCTTAGCAAAAGCGGAAGTAAGAGTACCTTCAGTGCATACTTGCCGCAAAATGTCTTTTTGATCATTCTTCTCCTGCAGCACCACAAAGAATCCAGGATAATTTTCTCTGCTTTAAAACTAAAGTAAACCACAGAAAGTTGCATCAGCTTGAAGGTCATGTCCTAACAAGCAAAAAACTGTCTGCAGCCTTTGTTTAACTACAGTTTGGGGAAATACTTCAGAGTGCCATTTGTGAAACTCAGCAGAAAAGCACTGTGTACATAGGATGTGGTTTAAGGAGGATCCACTTTGAAGATCTTTTATAATCAAACTCTGCCTCAGTCCTAGTTTTTATAGGACTCTCTTAGTTCTCACTATTCTTACGGAGAACTTTGCAGATACCTGCAACAGGAATATTTGCCCAATTAACATGTCTACTTGTCACTTGTGCTTGTAAGAAGACTTATGTTGATATTATTTGTACAACCTAAATGTAGGAAGTCAGTGGCTGCAGATAAAGCAGCCCGCAGCCATTGTGACCAAGGCTCACCCATCCCACTCACTTTTCTTGAAGAACAAAGACTTTATCAGACTGGGACCATAAATATATAATCTGAAATGTTTGAAAGATGAAGGACACGTTGGTATAGTATCTTCTCATTTCAACTGGCCTAACAGTTTGAGTTTTCTTCAAGGGTGAGAAAGGGCTGCTGTTTTCAACGCTTTGCGTAAGGAAGCCAATTGGCTAAGATCAACATCTCTGTAATCTAGCAGTTGAAATAACTGTTGGATGGATGGATGGATAAGATATTTCAACAGGGAAGATTTATAACTAAAACGCTATTCCCACAATTGAACAAACACTCCTAAAATCAAGGGAGATTATTTTGTTCATATCCCAGCTCAGTCTTTCATTTTATTTTATTATTTATATGGCCACCCATCTCATCAAAGTAACTCTTGGGCATTTAACAGTGATTAAAAATGAACAGGGAATACAACAACCATTGATGTAAGCATTTCATGGTTGTGGTTGTGCATATAATAGGGAGAAGTAGGGACTCTGTAAGGCAAGTAAAAAAAAGTCAAATGGCAGCCATGATATAACTCACCCACCCCTTTGTCCTTGTATGCCACCATCTTGATTTTTTTTTTAATTCTCTTTGTGGATTTCCCTGGGGATGGGGAAATACAATTCTCCTCTTGGCTCCTGATTTGTTAAATAACCTTTTTAAAAATTAAACAGTTAAGTAAGAGGCTGGCATGCAACAAAGCAAAACATCAATTACTACCATTAAATGTATCTGCAGGAATTCCGTCAGCCCTACAAAGATCTCATTAGGCATATGAGAACTAACTAACCAGAAATGAAAGAGAAGAGGAAATATTTTCCCACAAAATGCAAAGATTATAGATGTAATAAAACCTGATTATCAAATCTCATCCTACACAGATTATCCCAAATTTCAATATAATTATACGTATTTGATTTGATTTGTTTATCCTAATTGGAATTTTGATTTTGTACTATTGCTATTGTACTTAAAAATGGTCAAAGATCAAGTATCAAACAAAAAAACAAGTGTTTGGAAGAAAATGGCAGTCAAGTCAAGCATTTAATGTAATTTATATAATACATTGTCTATAGGGCCTATAGTTATATTATAGGACCTACTGCTGTACTCTCTATATTAAAAAGGAAGAAAATCAAGAAGAATGCTTGAAGAGTTTACCATCAACCATTTAACTGTATAATTTATTTTCATTAATTTCAGTGGGTGCAATCCAACATTAATCAGCTAAAATCCACATGTCTTAATTTAATCATGTTTTAGTGTGCCCATAAATATGACTGGGCCCAGTCTCTGCTTTTGCCAGATATAGTGATATAAATAATGAATTAATATTCATGTAAACCTAACTTTATTATAGAACTGTAGTACAGATGAGAACATTTGTCTATGGCATCTTGCTCACATGACTGTTTAAATATTTTAACTAACAACTTAATTCTAATTTTTATTTTAGACCATACAGAAGAAGAGGAACAGTGGTCAGATGACTTTGTAAGTTTCTTCGCCACCCAGGGCATTAGCAGGGGCAGTCAAAACCAAGATGGCAGCTTTTATTAGGCCATTGCACATAAGAAAAGAGGAAGAGTTTCAGTTGTGAGGTTGCAGTTACATACTGATTCTTTTTAGTCCTCTGCCCCTCTATGCTTCAAACACATGTACACAGCTATAAATTTTGTGAATTTTTCAATGTGAAATAGCCTTTCCCACTTAGATCTTCAAGATGTGTTGGGGATCTGTAAATTTTCAGGCAATTGCTGCTTTTAAAAAATGGCTGTAAGTCTCAGTCAGTCTATCCATCTGGGCACCCATCTGTCTAAAAGTTCACAGATCACAGTGTTTTGAAGCTCTTTTTTTATCCACATTTTTATGCCTATTTGGCCACCCTGACATATCAGTACAGCAAATACCTGGGTTAAAACACTTCAATTTAGGGACAACTGATAGTGATTAATGGAGCCTATTGTAGCAAAATTCAAGCTAAATATACAGTGATTCAAGTTAAATACATTATGGTTCAAGTTTATTAACCAATATTACTTATACAGTATTACATAATAATATTGCTCCAGCTTAGATACAAATCTGACTTAAAAATGGATCTGGAGAAACTGGGTACTACTTTACTTACTGTAAATGCTTGCAATAAAGACTGTTAGAATCGAAAATAGCTTTGAGATCAGAGCATAAAATGACATCTCAGCCAGATTAAGAAGAAGATCAAATATTTTTATGGTGATTAATCATGGCTCCTTGAATTCCATATGAATTCTGACACTTCTACAATGCTATTTCACATTTAGATAGCTGCAGTGAATTCAGTGTTGTAAAACTGCAGCTATTCTTATTTATTGGCTTCATAAGGAAGAAGAGAATCACAGTCTTTCTATCTTTTTCTTTTTTCTCCTTTTTCTTCCTTCCTTCTTTCCTTCCTTCCTTCCAACGTCATCAAGCCCTGATGTTTCTAGTACAGCCCTGTATACCATCCTTCTCTTGTTTTAGTTCATTTTCTTCATAGCCTCTTCATCTTTCTCCTTTTTTTTTGTTGGAAGATTAATTTGTCTTGTAATATGGAATTTATAATTTTTTTCCTGCAGTTATTCAGTTTTTCTCTATTTTTCCTTTTTCTTCCATGTCTATTCTTTCCAAGCTCCATTGCTGACATTACTAAATAATGAACTGTCTCATATTCAGACTTACTTAACATTTTTGATTCCTTTATTGATTATCTCAACTTTTTTCATAAACAATAAAATCAATCGTGTTTTTCAACTCACTCCTTCTCCATGTCATTGCACAAATAGGCATGCTTAAACCAAGAAAAGGCTTTTTCTATGCACATATCCACCAAAGAATCACCATTCTCATTTCTTTGTTCTTTTGATAGCCACAGTAACACTCACCTTGTTCCCCTCCATTCATTCATGTCACCTAACAGAATGTTCTTTTATCCAAATCACATTCATTTATACTCAACTATGGTTCTTCCACTATCAGAGCTCCTATTATCATTCTGTACCTATCAACAATTTATGGATTCCAACTTTCATAGGCAACTGTGAGGTAGTATTAATTTACACTTTCTGACATACATTTAACCTTTTATTCAACATTAAACCAACATTCCCACTTCCCTGCATGCATTTATCAACTCCTTTTTACAAGATCAGGCTACATCTATTTAGATCTATTATTCTGTTCCCCTTATTTCACAGGTCCCAATATACCTTCTTTGTTTCCTTTCATTCATTAACTTAAGCTCTTCTACATTCTAAGTCAGGGTGTTCCACATGCTATGATGGTTGATGGGCCCATACATATTACGTTTTAGTATCCATTGTGGCTTTGCTAATCAAGACTTACACAGAATGCTTTTTAGTATGCTACAGAAGGCCTTACACCAGGCTAGCCATACTGTATCACAAGCAGCATTTTCATCTAAGAATGAGAGCCAGTTTGGTCTAGTGGTTAAGGCACCAAGATAAAAATCAGGAGATTGTGAGTTCTAATTCTGCCTTAGGCATTAAAGCCAGTTGGGTGATTTAAGGTCAGTCACTGTATCTCAGTCCAATGCATCTCACAGGCTTATTGCAGGGAAAATAGGAGGAGATATTATTATTATGAATTAAGTATATTCATCACTTTGAGTTATTTATAAAAGTAATAAAAACAGGAATAATAAATTGGACATAATTAGTTTGGCCAGCATGCTATAAGCACAATCAAAGCCCAGTTTTCTCCTCAGCAGGCTCACGCTATTGTATGCAAGCCATGATCTCTGTTGTAAGCCAAAATACTTTTGCTTTCATCCTACCATTTACAAATAGATGCAATGGCCTTTCACCCAATTAGACTATGATTGAACATTCACATCTGAAAGTAATGATTACAATCCACAGTATGTGTAGGGCACAAAACGATGGGACTTTTGGTAATATTTGGGTGTCATTAAAGTAAGGGATTCTTTTAGTTGTTGAACCTCATTGTTCATAATATATTGAACCATTTTTAAAAGTTGCATTTCACAGTTTCCTAAGAAATTCAGCAATCTTCTGCTTCCAGGACAGCGATTATGAAAATCCAGATCACCACTCCGATTCTGAGATGTATGTGGTTCCCACAGAAGAGAACTGTGATGACAGTTATGAGCCTCCTCCAAGTGAACATGAGCCAGAGACAGTCCCAATACCATTCTCGTGTGCTCGGGGTGTATATGCAGGTATGTGCGTTATGTCCACACTCCCGTTTCTCAAGATCAAAGTCAATGATAACAGAATTAAAAGAAGCTGAAGAGTTTCAAAAGGAAGCAGAAGCTTTTTAAGACTCTGGGAGATCAAAGGGCAGAACAGCCATTTCAGCATACATGCAAACTCACACTCAGACATACTTCCACATACATTCATTTTTTTTCATGGCTTTTGATTCATTATAGCCAATAACAGAATAATCAGGAGCAAGTGGAATAACCTAAAATGCAAAAATAATTCTTGACCTATATATTTAAATGAATTCTACTGCCTAGAATGACAAATACTGATAATTTTAAATTGTCCTTTGGATGAGGTTCTCTCCATGTGGATGATCCTAGGGCAATCCGACCCCCCCCCTTGAAAAACTCATACCCATTCTTTCTCAAGTTCTCAGTTTTAAAAACAATAATCCTATCAAGCTTGAATTTCTTCTTATCTAATTAGAATTTCATTTTGCTACATTACCTGCAAATTAATCTTTTTCATTGATTATACCAGTTTCAGATGATTTATGAACATCTTAAATCACATGAAATCTCCAATGTCTGTTTATTATGACAACTGCCCAGGAACTTACATTCTCTTTTGATCAATTACCAGTCAATAAGAAGATCTGTTATCTCACTCTAATAATACCATGAACTATATGGTTAGAGACACTGGGGTCCCTATTGGGAAGGGGTACATTAAAAAAGTTAAGATGGAAGCTGCAGTTGAAGACCTGCCCCCTTTTATGTGGGCCATCATCTTTATATTTTTCAAACACATAGGCTCCTAGATAGAGATTTAGTCAAATTATGTCTTCAGCTGGTCCTCACCAATCATGATCGAAACTGGCAATTCTGCTAATAAGCACCATGGCCATAAAGTGAAATATCACACATGATTTATGTGAACTTAATAATGCCATTTCAAACTGCAGTTATTAAGCAAATCAACAAGCACTGTAAAGCATCACATCGTATGACTACAATTTGCAACTTCCTGCTGGCTTCCCCATTGACTTTGCTTGTTGGAAGCTGGCTTTGAAGATTGCAAACGGTTATCGTGATACTCTGGGACATTGCGACCATCATAAATATGCACCTGAATTGTGATTACATGACTGGGAGGATACTTTGATGGGCAGAACTTTAGGTCGTAAATTTGTTTCAGCATTGTTGTAACTTAAACAGTTGCTGAATGAGCAGTCAGTAAGTGAAGACCATGTGTATTAGATTGTTTCTGATTATACAGTTTTTCATATTCCCCATTTAGTCCATGGATAATTGTCAGCTCAATGTGGATTTTAATAATAGACAAGGAACTAACAAGCCTATCTCAAGAGAAATCATTATTCTGTTGGCAGCTCACTTGGTGTCTGAGGGAGAGCAAAACAAGGGGTGGGAACAAAAGATATTGGGTTACAAAGAACTAGGAAACCACATTACCATTAAAAAGGAGCTTATCTTTTAAGTTGAGACTTCCAACTTAGGTTCCCTACATATTTTTCCACAGCACCTTAAAATCTCACCATGAAATTTGATGGCAAAATTACCAATTTTAAATGAAGCTTCTGGAATAAAAATAATAAGAAAGAGTGGAAATGAAACTGAGAGGCAAATCACACTCTGCTTTAAATTTTCTCAACTCTTATTTCCATGGCACATAATTTGGACATTGATGTAATTCAACAGTGTGAACTTGTTAATTGTGTGTTTGGGCGTGGTAAAGATTTAAGGGTAGAAAAGAGGGATTATGCCTCCTAGACATCATGATGATGATGATGATGATGGTGGTGGTGGTGGTGGTGGTGGTGGAAGGGACCTTGGAGGTCATCAGGTCCAACCCCCTGCTCAGGCAGGTAACCCTATAACATTTCGGACAAATGGCTGTCCAGTTTCTTCTTAAAAACTTCCAGTGTTGGAGCATTCACCACTTCTGGAGGCAGGTTGTTCCACTGGTTAATTGTTCTGTCAGGAAGTTTCTCCTTAGTTCTAGATTGCTTCTCTCTTTGGTTAGTTTCCAAAGAGAGAGGCTTTCTTTCTCATTCCCACCCTATATCTCCACCAAAAAAACCAGTTAAAGACATTCCAGAATTTACATCCGATCCTTGATGTGGTGTCACTACCATAATGAAGATACCATTTCAGCTAGTTGGGTGGGGTGGAGATAAGGCCCCTAACCTGGGAAAAAATTGATCACTTCAATGCTAAGCTTTAGTTTTGCTCCAGCCAAATAGATCTAGTCTCAAACCAAATACAGTGTTCCCAAAGATACAATTATCCTTGAGGACTATTTATTAAAATAAAACTAATCATGATTTGCTTTTTTTCTGAAATGCTTAAGATGGTTTTGGATGGTGCACTTCAATATTGTTAATGAACCTCCAATATTGTTAATGAAACTGTTTTTATCTAAATGACTGAATTCATTGTATCCAAATTGCTATATTAAACTATTGAATTATGGCTATGACAATTCTCACTCCTCCAGGTCATGGTTGTCCCAAAGGTGCTTTTTCAAGAGGCAACTGGACTTTCTTTGTTTTTCCTTGAAGACGTTTCACTTCTCATCCATGAAGCTTCTTCAGTTCTGACTGAAGTTCAGTTTGAATTATAGGTTCAGGTTGGCTTCGGTGATTGGTTGCCTGGGGAAATCTCAATGCAAAATAAACCGAGTCAGAATCCTTTTTGGCTCCTTTTTGTTCACCTTATCTTTAAACAACATAATAGAAACTAACAATATTTTCCAGTTGTTGTTTTTTTCTAATTCCAATCTATCAAAGATTCAGTAAAAGCTGATGATATGACTGCTTTTTCAATGACACAAATAGATTTAAGGTGATCATTAAGTATTGGACCTTTGGTACTTACTGTTAAGAGATGAAACATCTCTTAATCATAATTAAAAACTAAAATATATTCTGATATGCATTTAATATATTCCACTTATTTTATGGAATATGTTTTAAAAATTTATTCTTTCAGCAGCATGGTTTAACTAAAATTGATCGGCCTAAGTCAGATATTTATAAATCACATTTTGTTATTTGGAAGAGTCATTACAACATCCAATGTCAAACAATGTCTGTAGCTGATAGTATATTATAGTTCCAGCAAAGTAACTTGTGCTTTTTTAGCATCACAAGGATAACTTAAGATAAGTGTCAAACTTTCCGGGCAACTTTGTCAAAGTGTGCTACCCATTGTCTAAATCAAGCAATGTAAGTGGTATTTGATGGAGTTTGGCTGTGGTAATAATTAGATGTGTTGAATAATCCGATGTTCTTAAGTCAAATTGCAGTGCAAAAGAGTAGGAAACTCAATGTATTTAACATCCTTAAGGAAACTAATCTCATTTAGTATAGAGATAGAGACCACAATTTCCACTTCCCAAACCTGGAAAAAAACCAGTTTGATCATCTTCAAAGCCACTAACATTAATTACTTCTCCAAACCATCATAGATCATATAGCATGAAAAATCCTATCAGCCCCATTTCAAGCAAAAAGGAAGTAAAAACTTTTGATTTCACTTAACCCAACGACCATCTGTGTCCTCACCTCATCTTGCATGTCATGTACCAAATAACAAACAAAAGTCCCAGTTGTTGAACCAATCTTCTCGTTGGCAGAGCTGAAGTCATGGAGCCAGAAAGTTTCAGCAATATAAGATTGGTGTTCCAGCAAATGGAAGAATAAACCGCCCACAAACTGATTGAAAATCAGCTGTTTTAGTGTAGCGTCAAGTACTGTGAAGAAATAAACTTGCTCTGATGTTGCATATAACCATTTAATTTGATTTAGATGTTCTCTTGCTGCATGAAAATGGACGGGAAAGCCCTTAATATTATGTCTTTTAATTATATATTTTTTCTTCTTCTGCCATTCACAGATGACAAACGATCTAGCCAACAGAAGACTTGGCCCCCACCTATTCCGCCAAACCAATCTTCATCTCTATCAAAGAAACCAGCCACTTTACCCGTACCGCCATCTGCTGTTCAGAAGCCCAGACTCCCACCCAAGCCAATGGATGACGAGGTGACGCTTCCTATTTTTATTACACTGACAGAGACAGAACAGTCAGGCAGAAGAAATCTGCTCTTGCTGTTTTTGTATGGGACATTTATATTCCTTTTTTTTTTTTTTTTGGCTCCTTCTGTAAAAGGAGGCTGCATGGCAAATTTAGTCATACCTAAAGCTGCTGCTAATGACAAATCAGGCTGACAAAGATGGAGGACACCAGGCACAGAGAATCAAAAGAGATTTCAGTTGCAAAGCTACTAAATCATACATAACTTATAATTTGGAAGATAGCAAGACAAATTACTTGAGTCAACCAGCTTAACTAAACCGAAAGTAGGCAGTCTAGGCTTGCCCCAAGATGCTTGTTTTTTGTTCCACCTAATTTTTGAAAAAGTTTAAAAACAAAACCAAACAAAGACTTGCTGCAAAAGAAAGCATCCATTTCTAAACATTCTATTTATCAGCAGAAATGGCTTTGGATCCCACAGAGAGTAGTAGAGAACATTCTGAGACCAAGTTGTCTTCTTGAAAGGGAATGTCTTGTACCCATATTTTGCATCCTTACCTGGGGTGGGAGGATCTTGTTTACGATAATTCGTGCTTTTGCCATTGCCTGCTTAGAGTATTGCAACGTGCTGTAAGTGGGACTGCCTTTAAAATCGCTCAAAGGTTGTATTTGGCTTGACCCTATGCTGACCATGTCACACCAGCTCTCCATGACCTACCCTGTTTAAAGTCCTGGGTGGACTTTAAAATGCCAGTGTTAACTTATAAAGCCCTACATGGCTTGGCAGTTTGTTACCTATCTATAAGGTTATATTATCTCATTGAAGTTAGCGTGACCATCTACCCAGAAGTACTGTTCCTCTTTAGGAAGGGGAAGGAAACAAGGCTCAGGTGGCCTGCATTGGTGATTACACCATCTTTTGGATCAGCCTCCCAATCAATATCGAACTGGTTCCCATCCTGGCTGCATTTCAGAAGTAACTTGAAGCACAAAACTGAAGCTTTGGAAGGACGTGATTGCATCCTCATTGGCAGTCTGTAGACACAGTCAATCAGTCCATCCAAACACTTTGAGGCCACATAAGAAATTGATTCATTTGCTGTCATCAGCTACTAGGTTTGTTATGCTAAACAGCTGAAGTACATCTTGTGTTGGATAACGGTATTTAAAAGCATGGGAAATTGCTTTGGCCAAAACATTAATAAATTAAGAATCTTTGAAGGACTGTACTGCTGAGCATAAATATAATCAGTGCTGGTCATCATTTCCAGCTATTTGCCAAATTTATATGGTTGCCCATCTTGTCCAAAATGACTCTAGGTTGCATACAATACAACCAAGAATTAAAACATTCTGTAAACCATTACAACAATAACCATAGATAAAATAATCCTATGAGAAGGAAGTTTGCATATAGGATAACTCACATAAAGGCTGCCTAGCATACAGGAGATCCAAAAACTACATTGATATTTTTTTTCCTAATGGACTACCTTCATATTTACAAATGTTCTGAATAGAAATATTGATTATATGTGTTTAAATTGTTTGAATTTCTTTTTAAGATCACTCATTGTTATATACTTACACACACGTATGTGTGTGCGTATGTGTTTACCTAGATTTTTTTTTCCTGCTTAACTTTGGTTTTTATTATTGGTATGGCCTCTTTTTTTAAGCCGATATGTTTTATTTTTGTCTTGATGTTTTGCAAATAAGCAAAAAACCAAAACCTCTAATAAAATTCCAGGTTAAAAGATTCTGGTGCAATATAATCAGATAGATCTTTAGAACACATTTTCCCCTCTACCTCCACATCCATTTAAGATTTAAACTGAGCTCCAAAACAGGCAGGGAAGCAGACATCAAAATTTAACATAAATTACCATTATATAATTTCTGCCTGTGTCTCCAGGAAGATAACAGGCTGCCCCCTTTCTTCCTTGCAAGCACGATATAGGTAGTCCTTGGCTTGCAACCATTCAGGTTACAATGACATTGAAAAAAGCGGCTTACAACTGATCTTCACACTTTTATTTATTTTTTTTTAGAAATTTTTTATTAAGTAAACATTTAAAAACATGTTGAACACAGTGTGACTTTTATGGCTGTTATTTTGCCATACATACTATACCATATACCATATATTTTCCTAGTCATTGATCTTTTATACCATTTACATATTACATTTTATACTATTTACATATTTATATATTTACATACATATTTACGTCTATTTATAACATAACTTCCATTTCCTATTTCATATTCTGATCTCTATCTTACGCTCACTTTGAGGTTAGAAATCTACACTTTCTCTCTTCTAGACGAGCTTTCACTGTTCTGACTTTTTCTCCTCGAGTCTAACCAATAGTACATCTTATCCCAAACTTCGTAATACTCTGTTTCATCCTTGTCTTTAATTTCTAAGGATAATCTATCCATCTCTGCACATATCAAAAAAAATTTAATTAGTTCACTCTCCACCGGGGAATTTCCGTTTTTCCAGTTCTAGGCATACACCAGCCTTGCTGCTGTTATAATATGCAACACTAGATATTTCTCTCCTTGGTTAAACTTCCCATCTATCATTCCCAGTAAAAACAATTCTGGTCTGGAATCTATCTTCAGTTCCAACATTTCCTCCAACCAAGTCTTTATTAGCCGCCAAAATTATTTGGCTTTGGAACAAGTCCACCACATATGATAATAAGTGCCTAACATTTTCTTGCACTTCCAACATTGTGGTGATATATCTTTTCTCATCTTTGCCAATCTTATTGGGGAAAGATGCCACCTGTAAAACATTTTGTACAGATTCTCTTTATATGAGGTAGCAAAGGTTAACTTCCCAGATTTTCAAGCATCACAGCATCCCCTGTGGTCGTGTAGTCAAAATTTGAGTGCTTCACAACCAGTGTGAATTTACAACCATTGCTGCGTCTGACGATCATGTGATCGCCTTTTGCCATCTTCCCAGCTATCTCCCAATAAGCAAAGTCAATAAGGAAAACAGATTTACTTAACAATTCTGTGATTCAGTTCACAATTAAGTTCCATTTATTTTAAAGTTTAAAAATTTATGGCACACATAATGCTCTACTGAACATGGAGAGGAATGTATTTGTTTGCCTTATATTAAACACACAAATATTAAATCATCGCTGCATTTTCTTTTAGGCAGATTATGTTGTACCAGTTGATGATGATGATGAAGATAATTATATAGAACCCACAGAAGAAAGCACTTCACAACCTGAAAAACGTACGGTTTGGAGGCAACTTCAGAAAGCCAGGGATGTGACTAAGGCATTGACTGAAATATGTGAAATATATATAAAAAAACTGTTATCAGAGTTTTGTATGCAAATTAAGTTTTCCTTTCCTTATGAGAAGAGAAGGACTTTAAAAGGGAGAATGGAAGACTGGGTAAAGAATTAGAGTCAAGTAAAAAAAATAGCTTCTGTGAGAAATAAAAACAGTGAGAATTAAATTCCTGGCAGCTTTATAAAAGAAACTTCTTGGGACTTGGCAGACATACTACTTTCATTTTACTGTATATAATATATTATGCTCTAGGGTAGTGTTTTTCAAACTTCGCAACTTTAAGATGTGTGGACTTCAAATCCCAAAATTCCCCATGCTGGTGAGGAATTCTGGGAGCTGAGGTTCACAGATCTTAAAGTTGCCAAATTTGCTCTAGGATTTACAGTGCTTCAGATGTTTAAAAAAAAAAGGGGGGGTGCTTCATGGAACACAAGGAGAAATTCATAGCACCTCCTTCAAAACAAATGCATCAGTACCTGAGATCATACAAGTACACTTGTTTTCACGAACTGCAGAAAGGGGTCACATTTCTATGTCTGCATTCCTAAAAGCACCTTCGCGGTAACATCCAGGGTATTGCACGATCCTTTGCTCTTTTGGAAACATGGATTTTTTTCCAATTGCATCCTTATATATTTGGGAAGAGGTACGTGCAATTAGAAATTAGAAAAATGTGTATATCACTCATCCTTTTGAAAAAGCAACCTGAATTTTCAATGAAATGAGCAAAAGTAAAACCTTAGGTAATTGATCAGTGGGGGGGTGGGGGGGGCTCAACTGTGTTTCTGGATTTTGACTTTCTCAGAGATCTCTAATACTTTGCTTTGATCATTTTTAGCACCTGTGGTGAACAGATCGACCAAGCCTCCCTGTTCTGTACCATCACCTTCCACACTAGGTATGACAATTTTGCATTTATCTTCCCAAAATCATGCAAAGATGCAATTAGTGGGTTGTGAAATAAATTTAGTTTTAATTCTAGGCAACCAAATTCCCTTAAAGGAAAGTAGGATTCCAAAGAGAAATGAGTTATATGTTTTAAGAATGCTTCCCCATAACTCTGGAGATTTGCTCTATATAAGGCACCAGGCTACCATACATATGTACAAAAGGGCAGGACTTCAGTCACATTGCTGGGACCACAGTCTTGTCTGGTTTGGGCCTTTTCCCCTTCAAATGCTGCTGAATGCAGGATTTGAAAAGAAGCATAAGGCTCATGCGTGATATCCTGCCTTTAGTGAAATGATACAGAGATAAACACTGTATAGCCGAAGTGTTAATTATATTTTTTAGCATGAGCTGCAAGTATCTAATATTTTCTTCAAAGCCATCTCTTAAGGCTGCAGTTCTTCTGTTTATTCAGAAATTATTTTCATTGGATATGAAAATATTTTAATTCCTAGTTATTCCTTTAAGAAATAAAGACTACCTTTGAGTCAACTCCTGGTGATTGCATTGAAGACATTTTCTTGGTAGCGTTGCAAAAGTGATTGCCCTTGTCTTCTTCCGCGGTGTTCTTTCAGTGCCCCAGCATCTAGTCGGAATTTGGAGATCTAGGGATAGACTGGGAAATCAAAAAACCAAACTGGAAGATATGCAAAGCATATCTATATTCACATTCATAAAATCACCAGAAAACTTGGAGACTTTATATAAAGGATTGCACTGTTGATCTAAAAATGAAATCTTTGTGTCATTCATGTGCCTAGTTTTGCACAAAAATGGCTTATTTCTGTTTTTATCCTCTTGTCTGCAGATGTATATGAAATTCCTGAAGAAGAGGTAAGATGCTATATATGCTCTATATATGCTCTATATATAAGGCTCACCTGTTTAGGAAGATCCTAGGAAGAGAAGAAAGATTCAGAGCAGAAAGAGGGAAATAACTGTGCATGCGGTACATGAGTGTACAGGAATATCACGGGTATGTTCAAAATTGCATTTTATAGGTAGTGTTCGAGAACACAAAACACAGTTTTCAATTCTTTTCCCAAAATGGCACCAATGAGATCCATTTCTAAGGAAAGATGTTGATATCAACCAAGTTTAAATCTTACTTATTCTGCAATAATAATTAAAAGAAAATGTTAATGATGGTTATTAGTTTTCTAGAATAAAATAATAGTAACAGAGGCTTGGATCAGCAATTTTGACGTGTTTATTTGACCTGCTTTTGAAATTCACTTTAGAAGGGACATTATATCTCAAGTTATATGAAGTAGTTGTTGCAGCATCTCCTACAAATTGACAAAAACTGGCATTTTAGGGGAAATGTTCCTTAAGAAAATTAAAAACCTAATGCAATTTGTGAATAGTAATCTAATTCATTTTCTCCAACAGAAGTCATCACCTCCATTACCCAGGTAACTTACTACTCACTCTGAAATTATAAGTAAACGTTGCTACATAGTAGAGGTTATTTCCCCAATTTATTTTCTCCTAAAAAAGTCTTAATGTAACATAGATAATTGTAAGTTTATGACACAGTGGAATTTTAGTGCAATGATGTATCACAAAATAGCTGATGTGAGGTCAGGCATGAGACAATTTATGCTAGAATTTGAATATGATGAGCCCAGCTTTTTCCATGTGCTGCTTCTATGTCTCAATCTACACACTGTGCATATCATATTAAATATATGAATAATAAGCTGCACACTGAAATAATGTACTTTAATTCTACATAATCCCCCAGCAACTGATATTTGGAGAACTGTATGAGGCTGAGGCAGAATGTAGGAGAAAGAATGGAGTCAAAAGAGGAATCAGCCTGGAGTCACTATGTGAGCACAAATGGACTAAGTACAACCCCTCTTGAATTCCATTAACCCCTATATAGCACCAGAATATTGCTAACTGTTAGTTGACTAATATCCTGTGCATAGGCATGAGCAATACATTACTTTAACTGGAACTTAATGTCTGGCTTTGGTCTTCTGCACCTCACATTAATCTAATCAACTATCAGTTAGCACTATTTTGGCACTAGATAAGGGTTAACAGAATTCACGAGGGGTTGGACTTAGACCGTTTGTGGCTATGTGGTGACTCTAGGCCAGGGGTGTCACGACGTATCGCGTTGATACGTGTTGTGTCATATCGCAACTTTTTTCCCCTTGCCAGAGTTGGGGTGGGTGTGGCTTCCCTGTGACACATCCGGCCCATGGGCCAGCAGTTTTATACCCCTACTCTAGGCTCATTCCTCTTTTAACTTCACTCCTGGCTGTGCCACTCCTCCACCTACGAAGAACATCTCTGGGGAATATGACTTGGAAATGTAGTCATCCTGTGTGAAAAGCCTGTTTGTATATTTTGTCCATAAGGATATCCAAGCCACTTCCTCCCAAGCCAGCTCTGAGACCATCTGGAGGACATTCTCATGAGCGCAACATACCTAAAGAATCATTCACACCAGATGCATTGAAATCAGACAGGTTAGTTTTCAGTTTTTTAAAAAAGTTTTTATAAGTTGCTAAGTAATATAAACCACATTGAGCATTTAATGTGGTTTTGTGAATAGTGTTCCACTTTGGCTAGGAAGAGTCAAATATTTATACAGCCACACATGTACCTAAAGTTTAAATTGGGTCTCATTCAAGAACAGATAGGACATATTTTTTTAAAAAAAAAAGACTAGAATCCATGAAGCCAATCTAAATAAATTATTTACCATAAGACACTGCTACATTTACTGTAAGGAATCAAAATTCCCTAGGCTTTACAAGCTGTGCTGATCTGACATTGGTCTTCATCTAACTGGGAGACCAATCCAGCATACAAGTCCATGGACTTCCTCAGTACTGGTGGGATATCACTAGAGCTGAAAGTACATTTGTGCTTTGGGAAAAATAGCAGTGTCTTCATGCTCTCTGAAACACAATAAAAGTAGAACACTTTGTGGGCCTGATCTATTGATTATGGCTCTCATGAACCCTAGATAAAAATGTGCTGTAATGGCTGATGATAATGAGTTATATTGTAGGCGATGGAATGTATCCATCTTGGAGGGGCATCAGGTTTAGAAACTGAATTTACTATAACTGCTTTTTAGGTAACTCAGCTCAGCTCCACTGGGATAATACCCCTAAAAGCCATTAGATCAGGGGTGTCAAATTGCTGGCCTGTGGGCCGGACACATCACGAGGAAACCACGCCTACCCCATTGCCGGCAATGGGAAAAAAGCTCCGATACGTCACTCAATGTCACATGATGTCGCGAGTTTGATATGTCTGCATTAGATCATTAAAACAGATAATTGCAATTTTATTTAGAGGAGAAAAATAAAGCCTAAAACATCATCTGTGTTTTCCAGAAACATTTTACCACTTCCAAGGCACCGCCCTTCACCGAAAGCTGTAAGTATTTCACATCCAAGTTCATAATACAATATGAACAGTCTGGACTATTGTAATGCATGCTAGATGGGACTGCCCTTGAAAAATATCCAGAAGCTTCAGTTGTTTCAGAGTGCAACTGCCAGCACAATTTTGCATAAGCATGTAACACCAGTTTTGAAGGCGCTGTACTAGCTGCTAATCTATTTCTGGGTACATTTCAAGGTCCTGGTTATCACCTTTAGAGCCCTACGTGGCTTGGGGTCAGGCTGTTTGAAGGACTACCTCTCTCCCATTACATCCACTTAGCCCATCACAACAGGAAGGCAGGGTATTTTGCAGCTCCAATATGGTAGAAATGCATATCTGGTAGGATCATGAAAAAAGGCCTTCTCGGTGATGGCCTCTTCTCTATGGAACACAATCTCCCCTTTTCCGAAAGACTTTGAAAATGTGGTTTGCCGGCAGGCCTGGACACCATGAATGGAGATGGAGATGATCAAGCAGTTGATTTGATTGGCTACGGCCGATGGGCAAGTGGTATGATTTTTATGTTGTGGAGTTTAAATCTTGTAAGCCTTCCAGAGTCACCTCTGTGAATTCAGTAGCCATATAAATTTGCTTGATAAATAAATAACATAGAAGCAGTGAAGTTCGGCGGATATTTGGAGCCATGACACATTCAGCTCAAACTCCAGGATAATTAAAGTGCCCCCTCTTCCCATGCCTAGATATATGCATACAAACCTTCTTGATCAGAGTCTTATTTTTATATATATACTTCATATTTCTTAATCGCCATCTTCCTCAGACTCTTATGTCCTATGTCCAGATCCGGAATGGCTGCCATTTAGGGTTTATAGAAACTGGAATTCAGACCTACAAAAAACCATGTTTCAAAACTTGATTTTCACAAAGTCATTGCAGTGTTTATGCTGGGTTAAACAGAAACCAGGGATCCTGTTTTAAAAGTTTCTGAAATAGGGATTGGATGGCAGTATGGCCAAGCTCATTATTGGGCTTTTTATTTTGGTGCCATTCGAACACAGTGCTTCATAAAACAAATGTTTTTCAAGATGACCGTTGTTTTTTCTATAGAATGTAAAGCTATTACCCAGAGGGCAATGCTCTTTAAATTTAGGTCAAAAACTCTGAAAAGTATCATTCCCTACAACTGTATATAGAGTAGTTTAATTAAGAATTTTATTGGCCTCGATTTTATCTTCCTGCGGATTAATGCTATGGGTTTTTTCATCATATCTCACTGAAGGTATATCACAAGGTTTCCCAACCTTGACAGTCTTAAAATGAGCGGACTTCAATACCCAGAATTCCCCACCCATCTTAGAATCAGACCTTTCAGAGGATTCCCTGTCTTGAATTTCGTAGACTTACATATGGCTGAGAAGGAATATTCCAGGGTAGTTGAAAAACTGATGAGTAATGTGTTGACTCTATCCAGGGCAGGAAAGGAGCTAATGAATCATAATGGGGAGCCAGTAGAAGCTTCTCACAGCATTAAAATGAAAGAAACAAGTTTGGCAAGGGAAGACTAATTAATGGAACTCACTGGGAAGCTACAGATTTGTAATCAAATAGATTCCAAAGGCATGGAATGATTATGAAAAATGGGGCTAAGTCACACAACTTGCTCATGGCAAAAAGTCCATAAATGTGCAAGAATTTCTGAAAGGGCTGTGCTGACCAGTTGGGTCAATTAACTACCTCAACATTAGAAAAGTTATAATTTTAATATGAGACCAGTTTAGTCAAGGTTAAGGCACCAGGCTAAAAACCGGGAGACTGTGAGTTCCAGTCCTGCCTTAGCCATGAAAGGCAGCTGGGTGCCTGTGGGCCCTGTCACTCTCAGCCCAACTCACCTTAATAAGGTTGTTGTTGTGGGGAAAATTGGAGGAGGAAGATGTTTTGGATATGTTCACCATCATCACATCCTGTGCTAAGCACATTGGGCTATAAGCGTGCTCCACAATTTTTGGTCTGGATATGTTTGCCACCTTGAATTATTTGTAAAAATAATAAAGTCAGAATACAAATAAATATTGATGCTGCTATTTATTGATGTTTGTTTATTGATTTTGTGTAGAACTATAATTAATTTGATGATGACATCTTCATTTAGTCATATAATAAAAATAAAGAAGTACCTTTGCAACACAAGTTATCACAATTCCTGGATTACAATTTGCCCAGAACTGTTAAATAATCTGAAAACTATTTTAATTTCAGGATCCAGAGGTCCTTGGAGCGCAAACTGATGGAAGTAAGAATATTCTGCCTTAAGCCAAATGTGCAGGGACTTCTAAGATGACTGGGAGCACAGAAGCTGGTTCCAAATAGCAGTGTTTCATGTTGACTTTATCATTTCATGTGTTCCTATGAATGTGCAGGAGCAAAGCCGTTGCATCTGTCTATCAAAGCACCTTGATTTTGATGACAGATCTTTCTGAGTTTTTCTAAGAATTGTTTGAGCTTTTCATTTTTGCTATAACATTTTTTAACAGATGGGGAACCTGTGGCCATCTGATGTTATTAAACTACAATTCTCAGCTACCCTGATGAACATGATCAGTGGTTAGAGATGACCATATGAAAATTGTACTCAACAACATCAGGGGAACCATAGTTCCATGTTAGCTTCAAAAGCTGGGTTAATGTAGCATATACTGTAAGAATATATCAATGGTGGAATCTTTGCTTTAAATTTTACCTTTTCCACAAATATAACCTTATATCGATGTTTCTCAGCCTTGGTAACTTGAAGATGTGTAGATTTCAACTCCCAGGAAGTTTGGGTGTTGAAGTCCATATATCTTCAAGTTGCCAAAGTTGAAAAACACTGCCTTAAACAAATCATTTTCTCCCTCTGCCTCTCCCTACCATATTAAGGGAATAATATTGCTAAAGTACTGCAATGGGGCCATTTTGAAATGATAAATAATATGAAATGCATGAAAGTTTCTGTATTTTTATCCATAATTGTAACTGTGTATTGACAATACACCAACTGTTTCCAGTAAATGCTGTATGATGGTAATGGTAAAACTTTGATTTTATGAGCCTCCATTCAGTGGACTTTGGATACAACAATTAAAAATTGCATTTGAACTGCTTCACTAGACAATGTTTGTGTAGTTTATGTAAACTGCAATTTAATTGACATTTGGCTTAAATAGACACAGCTTCTCCCCACTTTGTCTATAAAATGAAAATTTTATTGCATGTTACCTTTTCAAGATGTTTTAATAACTTTGAGAGTTAAGTTTGAATGTTTTAGGTGTTTTGAACTGGATTGTGCAAATCCTATGAAAAAAAGAGATTCATTCCTGATTTTTCCCATACAGTTTGGTTAGTGGATTTGCACAGTTCTGATTTTCAGTGGCTTTCTTATATTCAAAGCAGTAGTAGCAGTAGTCTAAACTTTAGAAACTTAACGTTTTGTTAACCAACCGATGCATTGAACTAACTACTGTGTTTGGATTTTTAGATAATAGCAGCAACGGTGCTGCAGAATTTAAAATTCCTTCTGTTAATGTTCCATCTCCATTTCCCAGGATCACGTAAGTGTCAAAAAATCATTCCTTCTCGCTATAGAAACTGTTCCAGTTTTTGTAATCCTTAAATGCACTGTTTACCAAAAGCAATATTATGGATTGTAATTATTTTATACACAGTGTTAATGAAGTGCTTAACTGCTTTGATAGATTGGATAGATGTAAAGAAACGTTTTGTATATTTTAAGTACTCCTGAAAAAGCAGTGTGCAAAGTCTATGATATACATTAAAAAAGGGATAGGGCCTTAATCACATGGCCACAGCTGCCATCTTGACTTTTTTAACCCATTCTTGGTATTTGTTCACCCCTTTCCAGCTGCCCTTAGTTTAAGTTTCTTCATGTCTAACGTTTTTTAGTATCAGTAATCCCAGTCCTTTCTGGTACAAATCTGTGAACTTCTGCCATTTGGACTGATCTGATATCAGGGCCACCTCACTGTACAATGTCATCCTTTGGTAGGTGGGCAGCCTAATAGAAGCATTGCTCAAATTCCAAAACAGCTGGGCTTATTTGGAGAACAGGCAAACACTGGGATGGAGTTAGCTAGCCAGACATGTCATTCTTTTTCTGTGTAAACAGAGGCAAGGGGAGTTTTCTTACTCTGGGAACTACCATTATTGCTCTGATAGCAGCTCAGTTGACTATTGTACATTACTACTATTGTAGATTACTACTTGCTTCTCAGGATTCTGTGGTTGCCAGAAGGAAAGACAGTGACAGAACCTACTTGAAAATGGTTTGGAGAGATCCAGAAATGTAAATAGCAATAGCAGTAGCACTTAGACTTATATACCACTTTACAGTGTTTTACAGCCCTCTCTAAGTGGTTTACAGAGTCAGCATATTGCCCCCAACAATCTGGGTCCTCATTTTGCCGACCTCGGAAGGATGGATTGCTGAGTCAACCTTGAGCTGGTCAGGATCGAATTCCTGGTAGTGAGCAAAGTTAGCCTGCAATACTAACCACTGTGCCACCACGGCTCCTACGGTGCTATGTACTGTATAGACAGTCCTCGACTTACATAATTTTACAGGTTTTACAACCTTTTTTGCCATTGTGGTTATAAAGTAAATCATGCAATCATAAGCAAATCTGGCTTCCCCTATTGGTTTTGCTTCATTGGAAGCCAGCTGGAAAGATCATAAATGGCAATCACCGGTACTGACCTTGGGACACCTCAAATTTATGCAGGTTGCCAAGCCCCCAGATTTTGATCACATGACCGTGGGGATGCTGCAGCCATCATAAATATGACGACCAGTTGTAAGTCACTTTTTTCAGTGCTGTTGTAATTGCTAAATGACTGGTTTTAAGTCAAGGACTACCTGAAGGACCTTTGAATCCAAGTCTAATGCTTTCCCTACAAATTGCACCAGTGAGAATGATATACACCATGTTTATAAATTGTGTGATTGTCAGAGCTGTCTAGCTTCACTTTGTCATGCATTGTATCAGTATGGAGACAGTATGAGAGACTTCCATTTAGAGTGCAGGAAAAAAAGGACTGGCATAAAGAAATATAGGCATCCAAACTTGAGTGCTCATAAGTGGGATAATTAGGAAGAAAACTGCAAAGCAAATGGAAACTTAATAATACTCTCGCATCCGTACTTTTTTTTTTCTGTAGAAAAAAGCTAATGAATCCTGCAATACCGCTGGTGAGTTTTTACTTTTAACATTGTCACACTGAAGAATAATTCTAAAAGCAACCCAAAATGATTAATTAATTATATCAACACCTTGTTCAATCTATGTATCTGTTTATATGGACTATGTATATGCAAAATGCAAAATGTTTTTTATATATAAAAAACATATATATATATATATGTGTGTGTGTGTGTTTTCTGAGGTTTTCGCAGGTGTTTGTATGTAGGTCTTTGGTTATTCGGGTTTTCTCCCACGTAAAATTGGAAGTGTCTTGGTGACGTTTCGACGAAGTCCCATTCGTCATCTTCAGGCTGGTGTTTTCAGCTTCGTGCTTCGAGGAGTATATATATATATATTCAAGAATATTGGTAAAAATACGACTCCCGGGCATAATTATAAATAAAAGAATAAAACACAATCACCGGGAGAGTTGAAGTAAAAATACTTTACTAAAAATATATTAATACTAAAAAGTTGCCAAGCTTTCGCTGGGGGAACTCCCCAGCATCGTCAGGGCTAAAAGGCCATTGCAGTAAAGGTGGTTTAAGTAGGTTCAAGTAACGTTTGCGCACGGCTCTTAGACCGTGTTACTGGCCCTGATTGGCCAGCTGAAAGCCAAGATGTGTCTATAATGTTATGGAAGGATAATTATGCCCGGGAGTCGTATTTTTACCAATATTCTTGAATTTTATGATCGAGCAGTTTTGCTCACGGCCAGAAAGTGGGAGAAATTGACGTGTCGCATTTCGGCAGCTTACCGCAGGATAGCGTTCTTACATACTTGTGCTCGAGAAGATTTACCACCTAAGATGCTAAGAAGGAAGCCCGTTATAGATACAAACGAATGCCAACAGGCTCTCCACCAGTTCCAACGCAGAACTATAAAAGCCCTTATAAATGATCAACATAGACGGGTGGAGCATTTGAAAAAATGTGTTCAGGAACATCGACAGCATTGTGACTCAGCATTATCAGAACAGCATTTCCAGGCCTTGAGCTACCACATCAAAATGGTGGCAGAAAGAACGAGTCAGAAAACAACAACACATCTCCAACGCAAGATGGATTCTATACGTAAGTCCCAATATAACAGTTTTGTGAATGAGTTGGTATGTAATCTCTCTTCAAAACCTTTAACTGACCCACAACTCACCCTACTGCAGCGTGATATTAACCATAACCTTATGGACGCTCAGCCATTGGACTTCATTGCCGCACTGGAGCCAGTTATGATTCACATGGGGACAGATGAGGATACCAGGAGTTCTATAAGACAACAGATCACAGGGCTGCTTACTAGCCATAGGTACCATCATATCCTGTCTAGGGAAGAAACTGAGGCCCTCATACAACTTAAGAGGGATGATACCATCGTTGTACTACCCGCAGACAAAGGTAGAGTGACTGTTATAATGGATAGGGAGCTATATACAACAAAGGCATTAGAACTCCTGGGTGATAGATCAGCTTATAGAATAGTTGAGAAAGACCCCACGGTAACACTCAAAAATAAAATCAACAAATTGCTAGACAGCTTGAAGCATAGTAAGAAGATTGGGGATGACATCTTGAGGAGGGTATGCCCCTGTGATACGGCTCTCGCCCGTTTTTACGGACTACCAAAAATTCACAAGGGAGGTATCCCCCTTCGTCCCATTGTATCGTTCAGGGGCATCCCCATCTCGGGACTAGCCAAATGGCTTAGTACCCGTATCAACCATCTCATAGATGGGAGCAGCACGATGGTCAGGTCTGCGGAAGAGTTTTTAGCTAGAATCAAGACTCTTAGAGTGGAGGATGACGAGACAATGGTATCGTTTGACGTCACCTCCCTCTTCACCTCCATTCCCCAGGACTTAGCCATCTCAGTCCTGAGAGAATGGTTGACGTGCATGGGAGGAGGGCACCATCAGGACTCCCTGCAGACAGAGGACCTCGTGAAACTTATAGAAATATGCCTCCAAACCCATTTTACATTTCAGGGCTCCATCTATGAACAGATCAAGGGTACTCCGATGGGCTCTCCCATCTCCAGTATTGTGGCGGAGGTGGTCCTCCAGCAACTTGAACATAGGGCTATGGCTTTATACCAACCCAAGTTTTGGGTGAGGTACGTGGACGACACGTTTGCTGTTGTCAAAAGACAACTTGTGGCTGCATTTATGGGAATATTGAATTCCATCTACTCTGATATAAAATTTACTGTGGAGGAGGAAAAACATAACACCCTTGCCTTCTTGGATGTATCTGTCCATCGCCAATTGGATGGATCCTTACCTACAAAAGTGTTCCGTAAGCCAACTCACACGGACAGGATCCTCCATTATCAGAGTAATCATCCAGTTTCCCATAAAATCAGCTGCATTAAAACGTTATTTAAGCGCATTGACTCCCACTGCAGTACGGATGAGTATAAGAATGAGGAGAGGAGACACCTCTTTCGCATATGCCGTTATAACGGTTATCCATTAAGATTCATCAGACGGCATAGCGTAACAACCCATCTTCGGGTTAACCAACATAGAGAAGAACCCCCCTTACAGAGAACACGCATCTCCCTCCCATATATTAACAATATCTCAGAGGCCAAGGCCAGATTGCTGGCCCCCCATGGGATAGAGGTGGCTCACAAGCCAAATCAAACTTTACGGTCTAAAGTCATGCGCCCAAAGGACCCCCTACCCCCCATGGAGAAATCATCTGTTGTCTATAAGATCAATTGTAAGAATTGCCAAGGCAACTATGTAGGGGAAACAGCCAAACGCCTGAAGACTCGTCTCCATGAACACCAGTTGGCTATAAAACGGGGCGAGCAGCGTTCACAACTTTGGATGCATATGGCGCAGGAGGGCCATCAATTTGACTTTGCTAATACCTGTATCGTAGCTAGTGATGCCACGAAGGGAGGCCGGCTACTGAAAGAGGCCTGGTTCTCGAATGACAGCTCAATTAATGGTCGCATTGACTTGCATCCAGCGCAACAAGCGCTGCGGAAATGGGACACAAATCATCACTCATTACATAGCAAGCAATCATACCAACACCTGCGGCGTTATGGACAGGAACCCGTATCCCCCCGCCGTCGGAAACACCTGCATATGGACGTAAATAACTGTACCATCAACACCCCCTTGCCAGGTGACCGGCGCTGGATCATGCGGTGAGAGAGTCTCCCACCCCAACATGTGGACACTGGAATAGAGCCTATGGACTCCCCGTGCACGGAGAAAGAAAGGGAGGGGGTGCCCGATATGGACGATCCATGCACCGCCCAACAACCCCATGTGAGCCTCACACACCCCCAGGAGGGAGGGAGCGATATTAATGGAGCCGGAACACCTAAAGGACTTAATGCTAAAATCTCGGAGTGTGCGGTTGCCCATAGCAATGAAGAGGAGCGTCCCATGTGGAGAGGGGAGAGAAAGCATAGAATGACAACCCGCTCGATCAGCAAGGGGAGGAGTAATGAGAGCGGTTTAAGTGCCAAACAACGGGAGGGAACGTATGTAAGGAAGACTGAGGTGGGGAATAAAGACTTGATTGTTGAGGCATACCATACCCGGATAGGAGCTGTTAACATGACAAAGGAGGAGAGAGATACACAATTGGGAAGGGATATTAACCCACAGTTAGTGGAGCCCGATCCCCATTGTAAAACACAAGAAAACATCAGATCAAGTCCTCCCCCCGACATGGCAGATGTTGGTATTATCGGAAGAGGAGGGGATGTAAGGTTACTAACGCCTCTAAAGACCAATAGTGGAAGGATAGGGAAGGGCATCCGAAGAAAAGAACATAACGTTATAGACACATCTTGGCTTTCAGCTGGCCAATCAGGGCAAGTAACACGGTCTAAGAGCCGTGCGCAAACGTTACTTGAACCTACTTAAACCACCTTTACTGCAATGGCCTTTTAGCCCTGACGATGCTGGGGAGTTCCCCCAGCGAAAGCTTGGCAACTTTTTAGTATTAATATATTTTTAGTAAAGTATTTTTACTTCAACTCTCCCGGTGATCGTGTTTTATTCTTTTATTCTTTTATTTATATATATAAACATTTTGCATTCTGTTGAATTAAATTGATCATATTATGCCTTTAATTTTTTTTTTTTGTATTATTGGAAATACATCAATCATTACAAATTTTGAAAATTTTTAACTGTATATAAAATATTAAGACGTAGCCTCTGGCAAAATTGCTGTGCTGAATCATAGGAAGTTTACATGTGATAAACACTGATTCAAGCATACGAAAAGAACAGACATAGCAAAGGTGTCATAATGTACCCAAAATCTATATAAAAGCATTACTTTTAATAGACATAGTCATTATCAACTTGAAACAAAGTAGATAAGAAATTAGACAGAGCAAAAAGAATGGGCAAGCAATGGCACAGTTCTATTTTAACCAAAGTTTCAGATGAAATCTGAGAGCAGACTCCAGTGATGCCTGTTAATCGTTGTCAGTTAGTATAAACTTGGATCAATTGCAGCAGAACCATCCCAATAGGTGTTGGGAAAAAGAAACAAGCACTGGTTGTAATACTTGTTTCCCATGGTTGATCTCCCATTTTTGTGATTAATATTCAGGATTACATATTGTTAAACATACTAACCTAATTGGAGTATTTTTTGTTACTACACTATCTAGTGTAGAGTTCTTAAGCTTCCACATTTATATCCTTGTATTGGCCTGTTAATATGAATTTTGACATTTTTTCCCTGTAACCAGGACAAAAGCCTTTTTCAGTATATTTAGCTTGTACTCATATTGGCGAATCAATTATAACCTTGATATTGGCAATTGCCAAACATTTAATTTAAATTGTTTTCTATTTATATTCTGTTTTGAAAGACACACATTATGATTCAGAATGGATTCCACTACTAACCTAATGAATATGCAATGTCTAATAAGACAATTGCCTAGTGCCCAGACTATAATTTTCTACAGTGAACATAAAACTCAGAAAACTTTATTGTCAAGAATAAAAGCAAAAGCAATAATTCTAAATACCTTAGCCTACTAGAACTATGTGGAGTTTTAATTTCCAATTGTGATTCAAAGATAATTACATAAAATATACAGATTGAATTTATTCAAGAAAAAATCAAATTTTAAAACTGATTTGACAATTCAATTGCTTTTGTCAGGGAAATCAAGGGGGTGATCCAAACAGTCAAGATAGCAGCCTTGAATGAAGCCCCACCCCTTTTTGTGTAGTTAAATCAAATTGATTTAGAGCGACAGTTTGAAATTGAATTTAAGTTTTGAAATACAAATCAGAATGTTTCACATGAAAATGAGTCAACATTTCAAACCAAATGAACAATTCCAATGACTTGTACATTCCTTCGATCCACAAAATTAAATAGTATTTTAAACCAGCTCTGTGCTTTCTGAATGCATTGCATTTCAGTTGCTCAACTAGACACTGACTGTGCTGACTAGGGTTTTAAGGACATTGATGATCTACAACATCTGGAGGCATCAGATTGAGAGATGTTATTCTAATTTTTCAATATGATTGCCTACCACATCATCATCTTCACTATCCCATTAATAAATGCAAAAGAGTTTATCTGTAAAACTAACTGCTTCTGCAGAAGAACAAGTACTCAACAATACTGCAGAATGCCCGTATTTGGTTCTTCTATCTCCATTAGTAGTCAAACAATAAATATATATTACACTAAGAGGATTACAATGAATTCTGTTATTGGAAATGCTTAATATTGTAGTATGTTGCATCAGACATTCTTTCCATTGATCAGAAGTCTGAGAAAAAAAAAGGTGTATAAGTAAAACTCATTTACGTTTATTTGCTTTAATTCTATATTGTAGAAGCCAAGCTTGCCTGATAGAGACCACTTAAATATTGCTGAAGGTAAATGGCTTTTTTTTTCCTTTTTCAAAACTTTAATTTTATCGGTGATTGGCCCTTTTCCTATGGAGAATAATATTGTAGCAGTGGTAGAACATATGAATTATCTTACCAATAACTTGCTTTTCCAATAAATTTTAGAGACAAGCAGTGAGTTGAAATACCGGTATATTAAGAGTGTGGAGAGATGTTGCAAGTACTGCATTGGCTAAAATAGTTAAACAAGTCTTTCTACAAATAAATATTAATATTAATTCCAATAATAAGAGCAAAAGACCATATTTGTGGCTTCATTTGCTGGCTAGTCAGACCTGGACCTGATCCAGAGGACTATCCTCATGTTCTTAATTTAAGAACAAAGAAAACATTTTCACCTAGGTCAGTAGCTATAATTTCCATCTGTTCCTCAGGACCATAATTGAGCCCAAAATTTATGTTGCTAAGTGAGACATTTGTTAAGTGAGTTTTGCCCCATTTTATGATCTTCTTGCCTCAGTTGTCAAGTGAATCACTGCAGTTGTTAAATTAGTAACACAGTTGTTAAGTGAATCTGGATTCCCCATTGACTTTGCTTGACAGAAGGTTGCAGAAGGTGATCACAGACCCCAGGACTCTGCAACCGTCATAAATACGAATCAGTTGCCAAGTGTCTGAATTCTGATCACCTGACCATGGGGATGCTGTAATGGCTGTAAGTGTGGAAAATGGTCACAAGTCACTTTTTTCAGTGATGTAACTTCAAACAGTCACTAAATGAACTTTTGTAAGCTGAGGACTACCAATATATTGCCTGGAATTGTTTAATTCATTCCCATCTTTACGGTATAGAAAAGGAGGCTAGATTAATCAACAAACAATTAACAATTAATTTAAGAATAGGTATAACTCTTTGACAAGTTTCTATTAGCCCCAGAGAGCAAGGATTGTGGGATTTGTACTCCCGACCTGCTAGTGTATCACAATCCAATTTTTGGTGAACTGCGGTCCTTGCAAAATACTAAATGTCTGTTTAAATAAGATTGCAGTCTTTGTGTATGCATGGTTGTTTTCTAAAGATAACATATGTACTTTTGTTCTAACAATTAGTGAACAGAATGTAAATTAAGGTACACCTCAGATAAGTCAATTAAAATTGGTTTACCAGTCTTTATTTTGCAGGCTGTGATATTATGGATTCACACATAATCCAGCCAATTATAATTTATTCAGTTGACTGTACTTAGATAGTATGACTAACTACAATGTATGATCAGATCATTATCTACACATGGAACAGAAATAGGTTGGTGTTTTTTTAAGTAACTTGCCCTTGATCTTATAGCAATTATAGGCAAAATTTGCATAGTATCTTAATCCAAAGGTCTCTGTGGTTTACTTAAATTTGGCATAATTTTATAGCCCTGCTATGATCAATGTACATGTATTATTTATATAACAAGATATTTAATAAGTAGAGGATAGAATGAATCAGCAACAACTGTTGACTTTGTATGTCAGCAAGTGCAAGATCAACATCTGAGCCTAGATTCTTTGCTGTAGTTCACATTGGATTAGTTCCACCAAAGCTGGACTCATTTATGAAGCTAACTAATCAGACTTCTTTATCCTTTTTCAAACACAGATAAACCTATACCTGCTGAACGCCGCCGGGGTTCCAGTCATGACATGCCTCTTCCACCCATCCCTTCTAGCATTCAAAAGTAAACATCTGTCATTTGCTTTTAAAACAGATTTATTATTACAAACCCTGATTTTGCAGTTCTAACTCTAAAGTGGGGAGGCTCAAAAAGAATATAAAAATGGATAAGAGGTGATGCAATTGTATGTGACACTAACAAGTCTTCCATATTGCTTTTAGACAACATTAATGATCAAGTTCAGCTTTATAGGAAATGTATAGTTGCAATCAAAAATGGAACTTGGTTATTTAGACTTTTATGCCTCATGTAAAGTATCACAATTTGTTTCTTCTATGAAATCATTATAAAATCAGTTACAAATTGCCAGGAAGATGGAAATATCGTAACATCACAACTATAGGTGCTGTTAGTCTTTATTATCAACTATTGTTAAAGAGTAGAGCAGCTTCAAATCCCTTTGGATAATTCACACTGGGGTCATCAACCAAGCAAAAGATTGTTTAAGCACAGATTACAAGCCAACATACGTTGGGTTTACAGTGTATGCTAAAATTAGGAATAAAAAGTGGAAAAGGACCTATGTTACTGCCTCTTTAATGAATGGCATACAAATAAAGGAAAAGGTTTCTCTTATTCAGTTATATCTGATTCTAGTGCTCATCTCTGTTTCTTAGTCAAGGGAGCCAGCGTCGTCCAAAGACATTTCCGTGGTCATATGGTCAGCATGACTATACACCAAGACTCATAGAATGCTGTTTCCTTCCCACTAAAGTGGTACCCATTTATCTACTCATATTTGCTTGCTTTCAGACTGCTAGGTGGGCAGGAACTGGGGCAAGTAATAGGACTTGGTTCTTGAACCTGGGCTGTCAGTTTTCCAGCTGACAAGCTCAGTGTCTTTACCCACTGAGCCACTGCACCCGCTTGGCATACAAATACAAACACATATTTCCTAGGACACCACAAATACAATGCAAGTCAACAAAAAAGCATAATTTCTTTAAGGAGTCACCAAAATATAGCAAGCATGCCTACACCAGATTTAAAGCATCTTTCCAATCACTTTGCTACTGAATGCACATACCTAAGTTAAATCAAACAAACAAATTATGTGAACCCTAAATAGATCTTCCTAACAGTCAGCAGGTAAGGAGCTTTTACAAATCATGAGACTTTTACAATAAATGTTAGATATTTCAATATTTTTCTCCTACATCACCGAATTCTGGGCAAATGCAATATGATATCTAATGCCATTTTTTTTTTTTAATCTCCAACCCCAACCCCTAGGCCGTTACCTCAGAAGCCACCAATCTTGTCAAGTAAGTATTCTTAAATTTGATTTAATTTACAATTGATGTCCAGTTAATTCATTTTGATCAGGGTAGAAATCTTGCTGGTAATTATTGCCACAACCTTCAAAATTTTCCTTATTTGGTCATTGTTACTGATCTAGAAGGAAATAACCCATCCTAAGCAATAGAAAGCAAATACAGCTAAAGAGTAGGATGACAACATTGCATCACTGGCTCTTTCATTTGTAATCTACATAAATAGCAACTGTATTCATGGTAGCCTACAAATAATCTTCTGTTTCTCAGGATCTCCAGAACCTGCAAACCATACCACACACCCTCGAAGTAATAGCTCTCAAGGTGGTTCTACAATAGCAGAACAGGTATAACTCTGACATAAGGCTTTTTTAAATAAGTGGGAAGGGATTAGATGTTACTAAATTTTGATCAAAATCTAATGAGCTATCGTTTGGATAATTCACAAGTTCTTCATAAATAAATAATAACTACTCATTTCAATATTTTTCTATCAAAAGAATGTTTATAAAAATCACCCTTTCACTTTACAGATTTTTGAGATTAAATCTATACAAAGGCTAATACTTACATATCTCCACATCACTGATAAATTATTCACATCCTGTGAAACACTTCCTGATTAATGTACAATGTATTAAACTTTATTTTTTTATTACAAAAAGAAGCATAGGAAATCTTTGGTTTTAGGGATACATAAATAGGAATGCCTCTTCTTCTTTTTCTTTACAGGATGCTGGCGTTCTTGGTCAAGCATGGTACATGGCTTCTAGTGATCGGAAAATAGCCGAAGATGCATTATATAAATCAAACAAGGTAAAAAGTATTTTCTTGATCTCATAGCTTCTAACAATTCTTCAGAAGCATAGGAGAGAATCTGAAAAAAGAAGCATTATCGAACAGGCAGAAAAATACCCATTCCATTTTCTTTGTTGTTGTTGTTGTTAACTCCGAAGTCGTGTCCGACCCATCGCGATCCCATGGACAACGTTCCTCCAGGTCTTCCTGTCCTCTACCATCTTCTGGAGTCCATTTAAATTCACACCTACTGCTTCAGTGACTCCATCCAGCCATCTCATTCTCTGTCGTCCCCTTCTTCTATTGCCCTCAATCTTTCCCAGCATTAGGCTCTTCTCCAATTTTCTTTGTACAATATAATTTGAATAATACCAGACCTTTATTTCTGAATATTAAAAAACAGCTTTATGCACTTGTTAATAATGACAAGGAGCGTTAATTATGGCAAAAATTCCCTGAAGTATTAGTATTTCACTAGAAAAGCATAGTTGGGTAAGATTCAGCTAAGTGTACAGAGGGAAAAAATGGTAGACTAAAGGAGGTGACCTGCTAAGTTAAATAGAGAATGGGAATGCAATTAAATTGGTAGGCTGCATAATAAAATATTTGGGACTACATATGCTTTCAGGAACAGGCAGATGATTGTTGTAAACTGGATTGTTTTAGTAATTATAAAACTGGGGTCTACAGAAATTATCCTAGTGTCCAGGTTGATAAAACAAATTCACAGGACACTGGAATATTTTAAATTTGGACTAGTTACCTACCATATTTTCCGGCATATAAGACGACTGGGCGTATAAGACGACCCCCGACTTTTGAGAAGATTTTCATGGTTTAGAACAGTGGTTCTCAACCTTCCTAATGCTGCAACCCTTTAATACAGTTCCTCATGTTGTGGTGACCCCCAACCATAAAATTATTTTCATTGCTACTTCTGTAAAACTGTAATTTTGCTACTGTTATGAATCGTAATGTAAATATCTGATATGCAGGGTATATTTTCATTGTTACAAATTGAACATAATTAAAGCATAGTGATTAATCACAAAAACAATATAACAATGCTCGCTGGAGAAGCTTACTCTCCCTTGCTCAAAAATGTTGGAGAGAGGAAAGGGGAAGGAAGGAAGGAAGATTGAAGGGGAAAGGAAGGAGATGGAAAAGGAAGGAGATTGAAGGGGGAAGGAAGGAAGGAAGGAGAGGGAGATTGAAGGGGAAGGGGTGGAGTTAGAGATGGAAGGAAGGAAGGAAGATTGAAGGGGAAAGGAAGGAGATGGAGAAGGAAGGAGATTGAAGTGGGGAGGCGCTGCCAAGGACGCACAAGCAGCTCTGCACAATTGCCCGGGGAGGGGGGAGGCTCTGGCGGAGAGCCTGGTGGAGAGCCAAGCGGCAGCACATCTGGGGCCTCGGAAGCTGCGCGGAGGATCCGCGTGCCTTGGAGCCACCGGCTGCCCTCTCACACCCACCAACCTAGAGCCCCCCATCCTCATCCCAGCACCTCTTGCCCTCTCCCAGCCGCCCCCCCCCCCGGGACCTGCCTGTCCCTCCAGCCTCCTGAGCGCCATCGCAGCAGTGGGGTCGTAGGAGCCCCTTTCCACACCACGCAGCCCATCGCATGCAAGAGGGGCGCAGCCGGAGTGCCAGCTCCCACTCGGAAGGTGCCACTTCTCCCCCCCGGCCCAGCTGGCTGGCCTCCAACGCACATGCGGACATCGCTGCCGCCTCGCCCTCTTCCCCGACCCCTGGTTGCTTCCAAGGCCCGGAGCCTAGCAAGCCGGGAAGGAGCCGCTCCTGTCCGGCAGCCCCATGGACACGCCTGGCGCTAGAGGGCCGAGGTGGCCTCCAATGGCAAGGGAGGCTGGCTGGGAGGTGCGGGGGAGGCTCCTGTGTGGCGCGGAGGGTGGCTGGGGGCAGAGTGCGGCCAGGCAACCAGGAGGTGTGGAGACCGGCTCAGCACTGCAGCTCAGCCGGCAGTGGTGGCAGCGCCAGCAGCAGCCCAGACCCGGCTCGGCTCAGCCGCTGAGCCAGCCCAGGGCGGCATTGGAGGCGCGTGTGATGGAGCTGCGGCGGCAGGAGCAGGCGCTGCCAGAGAAGGGCACCCTGGAGGCGGAGGAGCTGGTGGAGGACAGCGGCGGCAGCCGGATAAAGGAGCAGTGTCTCGGTTTCTAAGACCATCGGAAATATGTGTTTTCCGATGGTCTTAGGCGACCCCTGTGAAAGCGTTGTTCGACCCCCAAAAGGGTTGCGACCCACAGGTTGAGAACCGCTGGTTTAGAAAGTCGTCTTATACGTCGGAAAATACAATATTTTCTGGTGTATAAGACAACTGGGCATATAAGACGACCCCCCGACTTTTGAGAAGATTTTCATGGTTTAGAAAGTCGTCTTATATGCCGGAAAAATACAGTACCTAATATTAGGTAATTCTTTAGATCTAAGGGCTCCATAAAAAATAAAAGTAAAAAAGGTCACTTGAATCAAGAAAATTTTGAAACCTCTGATTTATTCGAAAAACTGTTTCTTGATCTAAAACTCTAATGTAAAGAATTGTTTCTTCTCCCAGGTAGAAAAAAGTTTTGTAACAGTGTAGAATGAATACAGTTTATATTCCTAGATAATTCTCTATGTACATCTACAAAGATACATGGATCTTTTGTGGACACAAGCAGTAGGCTGTGGGATTGTAAAAACCAAAGACTCCAGCCCAATACTGGGGGGATTTTCTTTTTATCAATTAAGATATCAGAAACAAAAAAGGATTAAGAAAATAGAACTATTTCTTCTGATTATTCCTTGAAATTCATGCCTTCCACTCTTTTTTTCAGGATGGGTCTTTCTTAGTAAGGAAGAGTTCTGGACAAGATTCTAAGCAACCATATACGCTAGTTGTATTTTACAACAAAAGAGTATATAACATTCCAATCCGATTTATTGAATCTGAAAGGCAATACGCTTTGGGTAGAGAAAAGACTGGTGAGGAGGTGAGTGATTTATTTTTGATTTTTATTCTAAATACATGCATGGAAATTTGGTTACACCGCTTAGAAATATGTTGATCTGTATGTTGACCATAAAAATGAACTAGCTTCTTTATAGGTAAGAGATTTTAGCTCAAGGGAGTCTAATTAAAATGTGAATGCAGTTTGTCATCCTCTTTAACTATGAATCTCTCTGTTTTTTTATTAAAGATTTCTTACTAGAAGCTTTTAGTGGTAGATAATCTCAAAGGATTTCGAAGAGGCAGAGGAACTAGAGATCAAATTGCCAACATACGCTGGATCATGGAGAAAGCTAGGGAGTTCCAGAAAAACATCTACTTCTGCTTCATTGACTATGCAAAAGCCTTTGATCGTGTGGATCACAACAAATTGTGGCAAGTTCTTAAAGAGATGGGAGTACCAGACCATCTCATTTGTCTCTTGAGAAACCTATATGCGGGTCAAGAAGCAACAGTGAGAACCGAACACGGAACCACTGATTGGTTCAAAATTGGAAAAGGAGTCCAGCAAGGCTGTATACTTTCGCCCTGCCTATTTAACTTATATGCAGAGCACATCATGAGAAAGGCAGGGCTAGATGAATCAAAAGTTGGAATTAAGATTGCCGGGAGAAATATCAACAACCTAAGATATGCAGATGATACCACTCTAATGGCAGAAAGTGAAGAGGAACTAAAGAGCCTCTTGATGCGGGTGAAGAAGGAGAGTGCAAACGTTGGCTTGAAACTCAACATTAAGAAAACCAAAATCATGGCATCCGGCCCTCTCAATTCCTGGCAAATAGATGGGGAAGAAATGGAGGTAGTGACAGATTTTCTTTTTCTGGGCTCCAAGATCACCTCAGATGGAGACTGCAGCCAAGAAATTAAAAGACGCTTGCTCCTGGGGAGGAAAGCTATGGCAAATCTAGACAGCATTCTAAAAAGCAGAGACATCAACCTGCCAACAAAAGTGCGTATAGTCCAGGCCATGGTTTTCCCAGTTGCAATGTATGGCTGTGAAAGTTGGACCATAAGAAAGGCTGAGCGCAAAAGAATTGAGGCCTTTGAACTATGGTGCTGGAGAAGACTCATGCGAGTCCCTTGGACTGCAAGGCGTTCAAACCGGTCAGTCCTAGAAGAGATCAACCCCGACTGCTCTTTGGAAGGCCAGATCCTGAAGTTGAAACTCAAGTACTTTGGCCACCTAATGAGAAGGAAGGATTCACTGGAGAAGAGCCTAATGCTGGGAAAGATTGAGGGCAATAGAAGAAGGGGAAGACAGAGAATGAGATGGCTGGATGGAGTCACTGAAGCAGTAGGTGTGAATTTAAATGGACTCCAGAAGATGGTAGAGGACAGGAAGACCTGGAGGAATGTTGTCCATGGGGTCGCGATGGGTCGGACACGACTTCGCAATTAACAACAACAACAAATCTCAAAGGGAGCAGAATTTAGTCAGCACCATCCCTATACGAAGGGATGTTGTTCAATTCTAAAGGGGGAAGTTTCTGGTAGGGAAATAAATCATGACTTAATTAAACAACAACAACCCTAAAACTTCAAATTATGGTTGCATGCTTTTAAATAGTAGGACTTTGTAACAAAATACAGTTGTCTTTTTCTATTTTGAACAACTGTTTTCTTACCAAGCTCTTACCATGACCTTTGCTAATCTGCGGTAATTTCCAAAATGTATTGGGACTAAAGTTTTAACCCACCTAGGATACTATTTTGGAAGAGTGCCTTTATCCAAAAAGATAAAAACAGTACAGATCTTGCCTTTAAAACCATATGCATTACATAAATTCATCTGTTGTTCTTTAAACAGTTTTTTAATAGTAATTGTTCACATTTTATTAATGTTGATCATTGAGTGTTAATCTGAAAGTTACAATTATACCCAAGAAACCTTATCCTGGTTTTGGAATAAAATATTTACTTTGGATTAATCCATATTTACTTGCACTTAAAGTGCCCACCCTGAAATCAATGAAATTCCAGTAATTGCTAAATTTGGTTCTATTGATTGCAGTAACTCCACTCTTGCACAAAACAATGAGTAGAGGTCAAGAGAATGTAAGAATCATATGGGAGAATTAAATTGTATGCATATTTGAACTTTTTGATTAGTGCTTATGTACAGAAAATGTTATAAACTGTTGAACAAGGAGCTTATTTTCCCTATTATCTTCTGCCAAGGTTACCTATAACAGTCCTATATGGATTATATTGCCTTAGCACCTATATGTTCCATATTCCACTATTTCACAAGAGAGGAGAAAACCCTACATGCCTCATTAATTAAAGTATGGGCTCAATTATATTAAAGAGGTGTACCTTAGGATGCTGACATTTAACCATTCCATTTTGGTAATGACAAAATAAAGCCATTTATAGTACTAGAATTTTGTCTAAAAAATGAGGCTAGCCTTAAGAGACATACTACTTGCAGTTTAGCTTACTCTACTCCTACTCTTCATTGGGAACAATTCACATGTACAAAAGTGCTAGAAAATATTGAAATTAGAACATATAAATGTTGACTTCTCAAACAGAATTATTTTGTTTAGAGCTATTTGAGTGGAAAAGAGATTTAAATTCTGATTGTTGACCCATTCAGCAGGATTTATGTTGAATAAACTATTTTTGTTTTCCCAATCCAGCACTTTGACAGTGTGACAGAAATAATAGAGAATCATCAGCGGACTTCTCTCGTTCTCATTGATAGTCAAAACAACACAAAAGACTCCACCAGGCTAAAATATATTGCTAGAATTTTGTAACTGCATCAAGGAGCATCACGAAATCATCTAACCCTTATTTTCCAAGGATTTGAGCTTCTGAACAAACATGCACAACTATTGTTAGAAGAACTTTCTTCAGTTTTTTCCAGCAAGCACCATGCTGATAGTTACCAAGCTAGTAGATTCGTTTATGAAATGCTGCTTCAATCATAAAGTGCCCATGTGTGGGTATACCTTAAAAAAGACATTACAAACTCTGGAGGCAAAAAAATCTCTGTGGCAGACAAGATGTATTTAAAATATACTGTACCTGCTAGCTGTCTATGGAGGAAAGTCTAGTTGCTTCCTGAAAAAGGACCTTTGGGGTATACCTGCTAGCATATACATGTGTCTTATTAAACTTTGTATTTTTCAAAGCTAGAGTATCTGTATTCCAAAGAACAATTATATAACCAGCTAAAAGCAGGATTTTTATTCCTCTGACAGCCATCTAAAATAATCAGGATGTTTATTTAGTATAACGGACTGGTACTTGTTTTACTTGTATTTGTTGGAGCTATTGTCAAATTCTGATATAAGTGTACATATATGAAAATTATAATTTATCAAGATGCAGTTATGATCCATAAGAATTTATAATTCTTGCATGGTAAATACTTAACTATTTCTTAGCTGTTACATGCTTTTGCAAAATGTTTCAGGACTGTAAAATACTTTGGCCACATGAATGTATCAAATAAGTATTCAGTGTTTGTTGGGGGGGGGGGTTTGCAGGACTTTTTTTTCCTCACTAGGCTCATCATGCAGTTGTGATCTGCATCCAGCAAGATATTATTTTATGACTCTTGGTAAATTTTAAATGAATAGTTAAAGCTTTAGAATCTTAGCTGTACATATTAGCTTGGCTTCCCATTAATTTTAATAAGGGTACTTGCTGCATTCCAAATTCTACCATTTGTTTTTTCGTTGCAGTGGTTGTACAATTGATAAAAAAAAGACTAAATGGTTTAGTATCTCAGTCAAATAATGCTTACAGATAGTCTTCAATTTATGAGTGCAATTGGGACCAGAATTTCAGTGAATGTGATCGTTAAGTGAGTTATTACATGGCTAGACCTGATCTTATGAACATAGTCTTTCAAGTAAATCAGTCATTAAGAAAATCTGGTTACCCCAATTTACTTAGCTTGTCAGAAGTCTCCTGGGAAAGTAGCAGTCACAATCATGTGATCACAAGATGTTGCAACTGTAATAAATGCAAATCAGTTGCCAGGTGCCCAAATTACAATCACATGACCATGGGAGGTGGTGCAAAGTTTGTAACTTCAAGGATGGTCGTAAGTAACTTTTTCCAAGGCCATCATAACTTCAAAGTGTATTTAAACAAATGATCATAAGTTGAGGACTACTTGCATTTTTTTAAAAAAAATTACTTAAATATTTAATAACAGTAATAGTACTGGGCATACTAAATGTAAAAATTAAGATAGGATTTTACTTTTTCTTCCCAAATAAGCAATATACAGTTTTACACTTTCACTCATGGGATTATCTACATCCAGTTTCACTAAGTTTTAATTATGTTTTACAATTTTTTTTCTTTCCAAACAACACATTACAAAATGTTGCATTTGGATTCTGATTTAACTGGAACATAGTAAAATGATAAATAAACCCAGATTTCTTTTTAACAATGGCAAAGACGGGTATCCTTCCAATTAGTTTTGACATACTTCAACAATTTAGCGGTAAAAGGGAACCAGAACACAGTGGCTGGATACTATGAAAGCTGACACCAGAGGCCAGAACAACTCAAAGTACTGCAAGATTAGAAGAGGTAGAGATACCTGGCCCATAGAATTGCCAAAAGTTGGACACAATTGAATGGATATCATCATTTCAACAATATCACACTTAGCTCTGATGTCTGATTTTTGTTACAGGTTTGCAGCTAATGTCCAAATATATTTAAATTAGCAACATATTTATCTGGCACTTGTTTTTGTCACCTTGTTTAAAGAATTAGTAAAGAAATGGGTTTGTTTCCTAGTCTCAGTACACATTTTTAATTTATTTCAGCTGTACACAACATAATCTTAAAAAGGAATGCTACCTAATTGTATCAACACTTGGAAAAATCTATTTTACTCAAAATATTTAGAAAAAAACATTTGTGCCACATAACAGGATTGATTAGTATTACAAGAAAATTAGGGGCAAAATATTCTGATCTTAAATATTCAAGCAGTATGACAGGCAGCTGTACTGTAGCAAAGGCTAGGCATTGTACAAGTGCTTAAGTCACATTAGAAGCTTACATATGTGCATGTTTACATGCCTGGCTGCAGACACAGAAAATTTTATTTTGAAAACAAGTTGAAACTCAATCTAAATACAAAGTTGAACCCTCCATCTAATGTTTTCTTTTTTATAAAGGCAGAATTTATTTATTTTATAAATACAGTATTTATAAATACAGAATATAAGTGATGTCTAGATATGCAGGTGTTTAATTATCTTGATACAGTTGCTCCTATTTAAAAAATTTAACTTGTTTAGTACCGGGAAAGTCAGCTCAAGTAACAAAACCACCAAGATTTTTTACCAACAAGTTAATTCCTTGACATTAATAAACACCTGTGCTTTATTCAAGGTTTAAATTATTCAATACAGTTATAGAGTAATATATCTATGTAACAAATTTATTAACAAGAAATACGTGCAGGGGAAATTTTAAGAGGTAATCCTGAATTGTAATTAATTTCAAAACATCATTTTAATATCAGTTAAATTTCTTAAGGGGGGTTAATATATTATTTCTATCAATATACAGGTTAACAGCATCCAGTACCTGTTTGGACTTAATTCTCAACTTAGTAAAAAAATTTAAGAAATATCTATTCCCTTGTCTATTATTTTACATGAGAAAGGAACAGTCTACATTATTATTCAGTATATTATTCTTACTTGAAATCTGTATATTTAATACAAAGATGAAAAGTTTTCTTTTGGCAGGTCTGCACTACAGCAAAGATGGTTTTCTGTTATTCCTTAGTGAGACAAAGATGATCTGTTTCCAGGTAAAAGTACCTAAGCAGACCAGAAGTTTTAATTATGCAATTATATCCCCCCCAAAATATTAAGCTTTAAGAAAGCCAGTTTGTACAGTAGATTGTGTTCAACGTCAGTAGAAACCTAAAGAGGATTTCTGAAATCATATGTGCATTTTCTGTACAAAGGAGAAAAAACTTTGATAAAATCTTCAATCAACCTGAGAAATATTTTGTCTAAATCAGAAACTATGTCCAAGCAACAGATTTTTCAATAAATTCAAATACTCTTAACAGTTTTGGTCACTACAATATAAAAAAGATGCTGAGACTCTAGAAAGAGTACAGAGAAGAGCAACAAAGATGATTAGGGACTGGAGGCTAAAGCATATAAGGAAAGGCTGCTGGAATTGGGTATATCTAGTTTAATGAAGAGAAGGACAAGGGGGGACATGATAGCAGTGTTCCAATATCTCAGGGGCTGCCACAAAGAAGAGGGAGTCAAGCTATTCTCCAAAGCGCCTGAAGGCAGGACAAAAAGCAACGGATGGAAACTAACAAGAGAAGCAACCTAGAACTAAGGAGAAACTTCCTGACAGAACAATTAACCAGTGGAACAACCTGCCTCCAGAAGTGGTGAATGCTCCAACACTGGAAGTTTTTAAGAAGAGATTGGACAGCCATTTATCTGAAATGGTATAGGGTTTCCTGCCTGAGCGGGGGATTGGACTAGATGACCTCCAAGGTCCCTTCCAACTTTTTATTATTATTATTATTAAGGATCATCGCACAGTCAGCCAGATGTTCAGACTGGATTTGGCATTTTGTCTACTTATCGAGTCCTTATCCAGGACCTGGGATAGGCAGATGTGGATGTTTGATGGTATTACAGATATCGTCGCAGGATGGAAGCAGTTCCTAGTAAGGCCGCCTTTTGCAATTGACTAATAGCGAATTTGTCAATGCCAATGGTGTTCAAGTGGTGCTCCAGTTATTATTATTAATATATATATATATATATATATATATATATATATATATATATATATATATATATATATATATATATATATATATATAATTTATGTTTCATATCCCGACTGATAGTATTCCGTTAAAAGGAACTCTTTCCAAAGTGTAACAACAAAGAAAATCACATTCTGCTTTCTAGCATGACCATTATTACAATGATAAGACTGTCTTTTACATGCATTTGGTTGCAAAATTATGGAATCAGATTCTTAATAAAATTTAATACCAATGTTGTAGGGATGACAAATGTTCACTTGGAATTCTCAGTACTGTTATACAAACAGGGAATACATTTTTCCAACAGTTATCTTCATCAGGCTTAAACACAGTAATAAGTTTATTGATTTGTATGAAAAATACTTCACTAAGAAAGTAGACAAACTGCACAGAAATAGTACAAGTGTCATGTGCATAGCAATATAGTTTAAAGCATTCACATATGGCTTTGTTTTAAAAGAAACTGTTAGGAGACCTGGCCCTATACAGACCTATGGTTATACAGTTGACACAAAGTAAACTGCTTCACATCTTTTAGGCACTTGCTAACAACAGTGATCAATCCCTGGAAAAAAAATCTTTAAAAGATCAAGGAAAAATACGGCAATAGCTGTGGATAGCTGAAAACCCTTTTAGTAGTGCATGCACAGAGCTGGAAAATACAATTCCTGTGCAAGATTTTGTAGCAAATAACCAAAGTACAAAAATATGTACACACTTTCATGTTTAAATATATACAAGACAAGAAAAGCCCTGAAATTCATTCTCCAATTACAAATATATGCCAAGATAGTAGTAACAAACACAAATTAAACTGCAATAGCAACTATGTAATTAAAATTTATACAGATTCATTTTAGGTGCTAACATGAAACTTGATTTAAAAAACATAATTTTAATGTGTTCCTGGATGCTATCAGCCAAAACAGTTCAATCAGAGGAACATGATTTTGTATTCTTCAATAAGTTATTCTAATGAATTCCAGTCTCGAGTGGCTTCCATCAGATGCCGCTGTCCGTGCCCTACCCAATTGTCCTGATTGTCAAATATCCTCCCACAAAACCAGCAGCTAAATTTAGTTTTCAGCGTATTATCAGAGGTAGTTTTCACAATCTGATAATTATTTTTGCTAGTCTTCTTCAGTGTTAATTTTAAAACAAATCTTTCTTTTACAGGACTTACAGGTTTTAGCATTTTGTGTTTTCTTCGAGTCAGTTCATTAGTAATTAAGTACAAACTGTTGCTATAATATGGTGGCTCCAGAAGAGCATCTATTGTTCTCTTTGATAAAGAGACCTTTAGAACATGTCCTTTAAACTTTGCAATAGTTTTCATAACATTTACAACTTCAGGAACATCAGCATCAGGGTGGTTTAGTACAACAACAGGCTGATTTCTCCGGGGGCATTTGACAAGTTGTTTAGAATGAAAAGGAAGTAAATTTAAAATCCTTATAGTATCTTTTGATGCTCTTGGTCTGTAAGGGGTTTGAAACAAGGATTCAAATTCATTCACGTCTAGTTGATTTTTTTCTTTGCACTTTCGATGCAATGTTTTCTTTCTAGGAGGTCCCTGAAAGTCATCCTTAGTTTTCCGTTTCAAATTCTTATTCTTCTGTGAAACTGTAGCATTAGAAAATTTAGCATCATTTTGCTTTGAATGATACTTAACCTTTGAAATTTGTGTTGACATATTCTCTGTTGCTCTTTGATTTTCCAAACTGCTTCCTGTATTAGCAGTTTCTTTTTGAGCTGAATCAAGTGGGGTCTTACCATCTCTAGAGGAATGTATCGGTTCTACAGAGGAACAAGAATCTTTTGATTTCCCATTTGCTGAACAAGCATTTGCTGGCATCAAACTACCTGATAAGTATAAGGCATTGCTAGAAGGGCGAGATGTATTTTTCTGATTTAGTGCAGGATGTTTGCAACACTTCATACTGTTCAACTGCAAAGATGAGACAGTGTTGCTAACTGGTTGGCATTTGTCTGCAGCAGGAAAAGTCTTAATTTTCAAAAAAAGCTTTTGTTGCATTGCTCCATGTTTCTTTGGTTCAGAACTTTGACTATGAGTAGGACCTTGAAAAATACTATGGTTTTGTACAAGAGACTTGTTTGATGACATACATTTAAGAAAAACTGCTTGTCTACCATTGGGCAAAAGTGCATACACAGGTTGTTCCTGTCCCACCTCTGGCTGTTTCACTGACTTTGCACAAGCAGCCTTACTGCCTTGAAATCCAGCTAGTATTTTCACAGAAGAAAGTCTGCTCTCTGGATTTGTATTGTGCTGATCGATTTGTGGAATGGCAATGGATGAAGCATTTACTGCCTCACTACATGTATTAATACTAGAATTTCTTAGGCTTCTAGAATCATTTGTTTGTAGGTCCCTGTGTGAGGATACTGGCTTCTTAGATGCAATTTTCTCTAAAACCTGAGAATTATTTTCAGCGGCATTTGCAGCTGTTCTAAGGGAACCCCTACCAAACGTCAAAATCATTCCAGGTCTTTTATTTAAAAGCAAAGATGCAGTTCTGGTTGCCTGAGCATCTGATGAACTCACTTTTGAAGGCCTTCCTGAAATAACTTGTAATCCTTGCTTGCGAGCAAGATGCAAAG